CCCGATCCACTCACACCTATATAGCCCATCCATCCACTCTGCCCACCCTCTTACAGACCATCCATCCACCCCTTCACAGCCCGATCCACTCACACCACACCTACTCTGCCCACCCCTTATAGCCCATCCATCCACTCTGCATCCCTCACCCCTTACAGACCATCCATCCACCCCTTCCATCCACCCCTTCAGCTCGATCCACTCACACCTATATAGCCCATCCATCCACTCTCTTACAGACCATCCATCCACCCCTTCACAGCCCGATCCACTCACACCTATATAGCCCATCCATCCACTCTGCCCACCCCTTACAGAGTCCATCCATCCACCCTTCACAGCCCGATCCACTCACACCTATATAGCCCATCCATCCACTCTGCCCACCCCTTACAGACCATCCATCCACCCCTTCACAGCCCATCCATCCTGCACACCTATATAGCCCATCCATCCACTCTGCCCACCCCTTACAGACCATCCATCCTTCACAGCCCGATCCACTCACCCCTTCATCCATCCACTCTGCCCACCCCTTACAGACCATCCATCCACCCATTCACAGCCCGATCCACTCACACCTATATAGCCCATCCATCCACTCTGCCCACCCCTTACAGACCATCCATCCACCCATTCACAGCCTGATCCATCAATCGTCATATGAGCGAAATATAACGTTCAACTGCCTACTGTCTGCCAGCAGATGTGGGCTTGTCATTTGTCACAATTATTCTTTTTATGGAGGAGTTAGGGGGGATTGAAAACTTTTAATGTTTTGCACAATACATTTTTTCAGGACATGTGCATGCACAGCAAGTCTTTTTGGCATTTTGTTTCAAATACATACCCCATCATTCCACCACTCTCCGTCCACCCCCACCTCCCCATGATCAGTCCCAAACAATCAATCTTAGTGCACAACCTTGTCTTCTTATTCAAATAACATTTGTAACAAAATGTGTGCAATGGCTAATGTTAATGACCTTGACCTAGGTGTGTGTCTGTCACATTCATTATGACCTTGACCTTGGTTTGTGTCTGTCACATACATCATGACAATGACCTTGGTTTGTGTTATGACCTTGACCTTGGTGTGTGTCTGTCACATTCATTATGACCTTGACCTTGGTTTGTGTCTGTCACATACATCATGACAATGACTATGGTTTGTGTCCAATGCATCTATCTATGACGGGGTGGTGGGGTAGCCCAGTGGTTAAAGCGTTGGCTCGTCACGCCGAAGACCCGGGTTCGAATCCCCACATGGGTACAATTTGTGAAGCCCATTTCTGGTGTCCCCCGCCATGATGTTGCTGGAATTCAGTCAGTCAGTCAGTCTATCTATGACAGAGCCTTGACCATTCCATTTGTCTCAGAGTGGGTTTACCTATTCGTTAATAGGTGTTGACAGTGGGAATATCGTTCATGGGTTGTTGATGGGTTGGTGTCGTGTAAATAGGGCACCTGTCTGCAGTTGGTCAAATGTGCTTTAATTATACTGTGGTGTAGATGCTTTAATTGTTATGGCTGTTACAGCTTTAATGATTTGTCATGTATACATAATGCACACGTTCGTGTATACGTTATGTATAAGGTATACATATATGTCTACACTGTTACCAGTTTTGTGCTTGAATGGACACTGAATTTTACAGCAGTTGTTGATTTTACAGTTCCCAGTTCAGCATGCCAGGCAATCATGCTTCACCTTGGGTTTGTTGAGAGGAAAATATTTTTTGAATGAATCAGATTCCGAGTTTCTGGTTTCAGCAGTTGATACAACAAAATAGAACCAGTGTATTGTAGAAACTGTGAAGACTCTGTATACATATGTCTTAGTTAAGTTCGTAACAACTGCACATTAACTCGTTACGCCAAAGACCCAGGTTCCATTACCAAAATGGGTAAAATGTGTGAAGCCCATTTCTGGTGCCCCCGCAGTGACATTGCTCTGTAATATTGCTAAAAGCGGCATAAAATCATACTCACTCACTTGGTCTTATTTCAGTATTCCAACCAGATCTGCAGATCAAACATGGTCCTATATTTGTTACGCCAACTGAATATGGCTGTGACTCCTAAATTTAAAGATTTGCAACATGTCTAGTTTTTGAGAGTTTATGCACAGATATCCAAATCTAAAGCTTTAAAAAAGCATGTATGTAAATAACCAAAGCACAGTATATATGTTTTCCAGTGTGTATTTTGAAACCAAAGAAATTAGCAGTTGAATATTCTTATTGCGAAGTTACATGAAATATGCTTCATTGATGTGCTTCTATAGCTTAATTTTTATGCATTAAATATACAGTGTATTTTCATTGATAAAATGTGTATGAAATACATGTATGTTTTGATATGACATATATATCAGCTTTTGTAGTTTTGATATTTGCATACTGTTTCAATGTATGTTGTGACATACACGATATGTTGACGTTAGAGACAAACTATTTTTAGATGATGTCTTCCAACTTTCGTCATGATATGCTTAGGTAGTCATGATTTTATTTCAATACTAGATCTAGAATACTTTGACATGTAGTTTTGTTGTTTTTTTATATCCTGTTGGATATGGCATTAAAGCATACAAAAAGTTGGTGACGTTTTGGGGTCTTTGATGACCGACTGGAACATTTTTGGTTTTTGATTCATGGTGCTCATGAAGAAGTTTCTTTTGCATTTTTTGCAGTATTTTTGGTAACAATATGTATGCTTTTGTACATGTTCTGTAATGGCATTAGTAGTTTCAATAAGCAATAAACTTTACATAGACATTGCGGCTTTGTTGCTAGTTTGTTGATGCGAATGAATGGATGGCCACACTGCAATGTGGTTAAGGGAAATGACTTGGACCAAAAAGCTATTGTGGTCTCTTAAACCGCCTGTGAAGACTTTGTTCTTGAAAAAATGAGTTTTTCAGTGCCATGCCGGTTCTCATGGGTTTCATTGAATTAGTAAATGTCTGAGAACTGCATCACATTGGCTTTCCTTCAACATTAGAATGACACATTAAGATAACTGGACACAATTCAAAGCATCATTAAAACACATATCACTCACTCTTGGAAAAACCTGTGCAAATCCAGGTTAGGATTGGTCTTCAGCAACCCATGCTTGTCATAAGAGGCGACTAACGGGATCGGGTGGTCATGCTCGCAGACTTGGTTGACACATGTCATTCACTCATTGTATCCCAATTGCGTAGATCTGTGCTGATGCTGTTGATCACTGGATTGTCTGGTCCAAACTCGAATGTTTACAGACCACCACCATATGGCTGGCATATTGCTGAGTGTGGCGTTGAACAACAAACAACCATAAAACTCTTGAAAAACATTTTGTTTCTTGTCCACTGCAGTTTTGTAAAAGACTGTTCATTCAGATAGGCAAATTCATACCACATTATGCATAAATTATGGATTAAATGTGATAAATATTATCATAATTACTTCAATTTTGTTGTTATTTCTTACCCAGGTGAGTTCTGGTGTCAGGAATCCATTGTAACAGTCTCTTTCCCAGAACTGTCAGTTGTTACCTGGCACATGACAATGTGGAAATAAAACAAGGCACATGGCAATAAGAGAATTAAACAGGGCACATGGCAATAAGAGAATAAAACAGGGCAATAAGAGAATAAAACAGGGCCATGGCAATGAGAGAATAAAACAGGGCACATGGCAATGTGGAAATAAAACAAGGCACATGGCAATAAGAGAATAAAACAGGGCACATGGCAATGAGAGAATATAACAGGGCACATGGCAATAAGAGAATAAAACAAGGCACATGGCAATGTGGAAATAAAACAAGGCACATGGCAATAAGAGAATATAACAGGGCACATGGCAATAAGAGAATAAAACAAGGCACATGGCAATAAGAGAATAAAACAAGGCACATGGCAATAAGAATAAAACAAGGCACATGGCAATAAGAGAATATAACAGGGCACATGGCAATAAGAGAATAAAACAAGGCACATGGCAATGAGAATAAAACAAGGCACATGGCAATAAGAGAATAAAACAGGGCACATGGCAATGTGGAAATAACAAGGCACATGGCAAGAGAATATAACAGGGCACATGGCAATGAGAGAATAAAACAAGCCACATGGCAATGAGAATAAAACAAGGCAAATGGCAATGAGAGAATAAAACAAGGCACATGGCAATAAGAGAATAAAACAAGGCACATGGCAAGAGAAATAAAACAAGGCACATGGCAATAAGAGAATAAAACAAGGCACATGGCAATGAGAGAATAAAACAAGGCACATGGCAATGAGAGAATAAAACAAGGCACATGGCAATAAGAGAATAAAACAGGGCACATGGCAATGTGGAAATAAAACAAGGCACATGGCAAGAGAATATAACAGGGCACATGGCAATAAGAGAATAAAACAGACCACATGGCAATGAGAGAATAAAACAGGGCACATTGAAATGAGGAAACAAACCCAGGCACATAGCAATGAGGAAACAAACCCAGGCACATGGCAATGAGGAAACAAACCCAGGCACATAGCAATGAGGAAACAAACCCAGGCACATTGCAGTGAGGAGACAAACCCAGGCACATGGCAATGAGGAAACAAACCCAGGCACATGGCAATGAGGAAACAAACCCAGGCACATGGCAATGAGGAAACAAACCCAGGCATATTGCAATGAAGCATGGAAATATCAGTTCCAAAGAGCATGGTTTATCATGTTCATTAATTTTCAAAGAATAAATAATTGATGACCTGTTTATGTTGAACAAAATAACTAAGTTCCTAAACATTCAAAAGAAAAATGCTGATCTCATGCCAAAATCTACTTTATATCTAAATATACATATTTCGTGAAATTTGCGTACTTGCAAAAATGAAGCTTTAAAAGAACAGAAAGTATTCGAAATCCGTATTTCGTTTACCGTTTCACGTTTTATATTAAACTTGTTCTGTTTCAGTCGATCCGGTTCTGGTCGAAGTACACTTTCGTAACTCTCCGTAAGAAGAGTTCCGTCAGGTTCAATGGCGGAGCTCTGAGGCTTTTAGAAGAGAAGGAATTTATATCTGTTAATATCTCAGTCATCATAATACCAAATCAACAAACGACTGGTTATTTTAGTAAAGAACGCATTCAAGGACATAGTCAACTATGTATGGTCAAGATGAAGGTATCTGTCGTTGTAATACGAGCATTTGTATTGTTGTTTACATTTTGCGCATCGGCATCAGTTCAAAATGCTGACAAAGAAATACGTCGATTAGATCATGACTGATAGTGCGTCAAAGCATCAGATGATGTACATAAATGATCTCTCAGTGGATAATGTCCGTTATTCAGTTGCATGAGACATCTTATCACGAACCCATCAAATCTACCTTCTCAAGTTCACAATGTTTATGTTTTGGCGGGTCTAAATCTGCCTACATACTCCAAAAAAAATAAATTTCTTCATCTTAATTCTCACTGATTTAGTCTCGAAGAGAACTAAATCTGGTGTGTCAAACAGCTGCTAAATGATCCCCAAACATACAGGTTTTCTGTGTAAACAATGGTATCCAACAATACTTCCTTACTATCAATATTATTTGAAAATGCAGCATAAACGATCTTCATGGAAGATGGCTAGGGTTCATGGGGTTGTGAGAACTGCCTTTGGTTAAAATTGTACTACTGTTTCGTTCCAGTAAACTCAAATATACAGAGATAGTCTGAAATCTGGACCCATTTCTACATATATTTCCACTCGGTCATTTGGAATCTCATATTTCTGATACATTACAAGATCTTACTTCACTGGTAGGTTGGTTGTGAACAAGCAGTGTTCAACAGATGCAGTGACAACATGCTCAGAATCAAGCTACAAAACAGAAACGTCACTTTCATTGTCAAAAATAACTTCTTTCATCCATATATCTCATCCTTACTTAAAACACAAGGTTTTGTTGAAATTGAAAGATCCATCATTTTTAAACAGAAAGAATCCCTTAAGACATTGCTCATTACAGCAAAAGTGATTTGAGAAAGATTTTGTGCTGTCAAAATCTAAGTGACAGGTCATCTGCTTGGTGTTGATATCGGCTATCAGAAAATCACATAGCTTACGTGAGGGTCAGTGGACGTAAATAGCAGACCAATGAGGCAAGTGAAAACATGAACACTTTGGCCCAGAATTAATTCATTTCTTCCCAGGGCAAATGGCCTAGATTTCAGATTATCCTGGTACTTTTCAGTATATTAGAATATACTATGTACTTAGTGTTATAACCAGTGTTGATGGTCATTACTAATCCCTGGGTTGTCCGTTTTAGTCTTGATTAATTACAGGCAACATTCACTTCTATTAGTTCAGATGTTGTTGACTGTTATGTTAAACAACTCTCTGATGCCTTGTTGCAGAAATGTATGATGAGGGAGATGAAGGGGACGACCTCACCCCAGATCTGTGGCAGGAGGCCTGCTGGATCGTCATCAGTTCATATTTTGTCGAGAAGGGTCTTGTACGTCAGCAGCTTGACTCCTTCGATGAGTTCATCCAGATGTCGGTGCAGAGAATTGTAGAAGATGCTCCACCGATCGATCTGCAGGCAGAGGCCCAGCATACGTCAGGAACATTGGAGACACCGGTGAGATATGCTCTTGGACATGTCAGTTTTGTGATATGGCTACATAATTTTCGGAAAGGACTTTGTGTGTGTATAATGGGATTTAACCACCTGTTTGGACATTTGATATCATGGATTTCCATCCCAGTTGTCTGATTATGGCTTTTGGATTAAATCCCTGAAATGGAAATTAGAGGATTGAGTCTTTCACCCCTTTCTATGACTTCCAGCTGTTATTATTGTTCTCACAGTATCATCACACAAAACAGTAGATGCAGCATTCAGTGTAGTTGCCATGTTTGATCTACACAGGGACCTTGCTTCTCTTAAATCCTGTGCAATTTGAATTCAGGGATCCTCCCAAAATGCCACATGTGAAGCAGGACCTCTTGACGTTCATGCTGAATATGGTGAAATGATTTGTCTATCACAGAGTGTTGTTTATGTCTTGGCATAGTTTGCACTTATGGTTGCCTTGCTAAAGTCTGACTCATTATTATGATTAGTATTATGATTATAGACAAAACATACTGTGACCACTAAGACTCATATCCTTTGCCCTTCAGCCAAGGTACCTACTGAAGTTCGAGCAGATCTATCTGTCCAAGCCCACTCACTGGGAGAAGGACGGTGCTCCTAGCCCCATGATGCCCAATGAGGCACGGCTCCGAAATCTCACGTATGTATAAGTTAGTTGATGCACTGTTACCATTTTATCACATATAATGAACAGTAGGTACGCAGTATTACATGGTATTTGGTCTCAGTACAATCTGTGACTTTCAGTAAGGTAGTAACTGAAGCTCTCTCTGCCATGTGGCCATGTGTTTATGGAGATGGTGGGGTAGCCTTGTAGTTTCTCACCGAAGACCCAGGTTCGATTCCTCGTGATGGGTACAATCTGTGACTTTCAGTAAGGTAACAACTAGCTCTCTGCCATGTGGCCATGTGTTTATGGAGATGGTGGGGTAGCCTTGTAGTTAAAGCGTCAGCCCGTCACACCAAAGACCCAGGTTCGATTCCCCGTATGGGTACAATCTGTGACTTTCAGTAAGGTAACAACTGAAGCTCTCTCTGCCATGTGGCCATGTGTTTATGGAGATGGTGGGGTAGCCTTGTAGTTAAAGCGTCGCCCGTCACACCAAAGACCCAGGTTCGATTCCCCGTATGGGTACAATCTGTGACTTTCAGTAAGGTAACAACTGAAGCTCTCTGCCATGTGGCCATGTGTTTATGGGGATGGTGGGGTTAGCCTAGTAGTTAAAGCGTCATTCATCACACCAAAGACCCAGGTTCGATTCCCTATATGGGTACAATCTGTGAAGCCCTTCTGGGGTCCCCTGCCATGATATTTTTGGAATATTGCTAAAAGCGACATAAAACTAAACTCACTATGTGCTTGCAGGTACTCTGCTCCCCTGTACGTGGACATCACAAAGACGGTGATCAAGGAAGGTGAGGAGTCGGTGGAGACCCTGCATCAGAAGACCTACATCGGCAAGATCCCCATCATGTTGAGGTCCACCTACTGCCTGCTCAACGGACTCACAGATCGTGACTTGACAGAGCTGAACGAGTGTCCGCTGGATCCCGGTGGCTATTTCATCATCAATGGATCTGAGAAGGTGCTGATTGCTCAGGAGAAGATGGCTACCAACACAGGTGGGTAGATGGTTATTCAGCTCTCACATCTTGAATAGTATCTGTCTCAGCGTTTGGTGTGAACTTCATCATGATTGCGTTAAGAGTTCTGTCATGTATCATTCAGCAGTTAATTTAAAAAATATTGTTATGATTTTTACTTAAGGATTTGCTGGATCCAAATTTCACAACCCGTGAAGGTCCACGTTAGAATATTGGCCTTCAGTAACCCATGCTTGTCGCAAGAGGCGACTAACAGGATCGGGTGGTCAGGCATGCTGACTTGGTTGACACATGTCATTGGTTCCCAATTGCGCAGATCGATGCTCATGCTGTCGATCACTGGATTGCCTGGTCCAGACTCGATTATTTACAGACCGCCGCCATAAAGCTGGAATATTGCTGAGTGTGGCGTAAAACTAAACTCACTCACTCAAAATTTCACAAATGTGATATGAAAAAAGCAATTATGGTCTTTGTGAGTCTGTTTTGCTAACAATTCTTGTTGTTGACTCCCTAAACCGCAAGTCTGACTGGTTATTCTCTTTGTTCCAGTGTATGTGTTTCAGCAGAAAGACTCAAAGTACGCCTTCAAGACAGAGTTGAGGTCGTGCCTGGAGCACTCGTCACGTCCCACCAGTACACTGTGGGTCAACATGATGGCCAGAGGGGGATCGGTGAGTGGAGTTCTCTCTTGTTAAAACTGAACTATCCGAATCCAGTTGGTAAAGAAATGTAGCTGAATTATTTAGAAAAGTGACGCCAAATGTCTCAAGACTAAATGAATCCTTAAATATGACTTTCTGTTAGAGTTCAGTAAGTGTTCACCTGACCAACATTTTTAATGGAGAGTTATCCAGTGTGTGTGTGTAGAGGTATCTGATTTCATTGGAGCTGGCTCTGTATTGCTGGGGTAGCCCAATGGTTAAGGTGTCAGCTCGTCACACTGAAGACCTGGGTTTTATTCTCAAAATAATTTCTGGTGTCCCCCTCCATGTTATTGCTGGAATGTTGCTAAAAGCGGCATAAAACCATACTCATTCACTCACTCTGTATTGACGTTAGATGACCCCCTTTTCTCAACTGTCTGCAGGGAGCTAAGAAGAGCGCCATTGGTCAGAGAATTGTGTCCATTCTTCCTTACATCAAGCAGGAGATCCCCATCATCATTGTCTTCAGAGCTCTGGGCTTCGTGTCTGACAGGGATATCCTTGAACACATCATCTACGACTTCGATGATCCTGAAATGATGGAAATGGTAAATTTGTGAATACAGTTCTTGGTAATTCAGGTTATCTCATTGTTTTTGTTTGTTGTTTACCGCAGTACTTCGCAATATTTCAGCTATATGGCCGGCCTGTAAATAATTGAGTCTGGACCAGACAATTCAGTAATGAACACCATAAGCATCGATCTACGCATGTAAGATACAATGACACTTGTCATCCAAGTCTGGGAGTCTTGCCACCCGATCTCATTAGTCGTCTCTTATGGATAGCATGGATTGCTGAAGACCAATTCTAACCTGGACCTTCACAGGTCCCATTAGAACTGGGAACGACTTGGAATTATGATCATTAGTATTTATGAAGACTCAACAGCATCAGATTCATTATGGACATGATTTTTCGCCTGATTTAATCACAGCTATTGCAGCTTTTACCAATGGTATGTGTGTAACCTGATAATGTCTGTTTTACATTCCTCTGTGAACAGGTAAAGCCATCGCTGGATGAGGCCTTTGTCATCCAGGAACAAAATGTGGCTCTCAACTTTATTGGAGCCAGAGGTGCTCGACCTGGTGTCACAAAGGATAAGAGAATCAAGTATGCCAGGGAAATCTTGCAGAAGGAAATGTTGCCTCACGTGGGCGTCAGTGAGTTCTGTGAAACCAAGAAAGCCTATTTCCTTGGATACATGGTCCATCGATTGCTGATGGCGGCTCTAGGAAGGCGTGAGGTAGATGACAGAGATCACTATGGCAACAAGAGGCTGGATTTGGCTGGTCCTCTCCTTGCTTTCTTGTTCAGAGGGTGAGTGACATGTCTGTTTCCAGTGGTTCTGTGCAAACAGTTTTTTGGTTGTACATGTGGATGACATAGTCTCCTTGCTTGAGGTCATCTGTGCGTATTGTGTAAAACAAATTGAAAACTTGTTTGGTTTTTAATTTACAGTATGTTCCGTAACTTGATGAAAGAGGTACGGATGTATGCCCAAAAGTTCATTGATCGGGGGAAAGATTTCAACATGGAGCTGGCCATTAAGACTCGTATCATCACAGATGGACTCAAGTACTCCTTGGCCACAGGCAACTGGGGGGATCAAAAGAAGGCCTCACAGGCTAGGGCTGGAGTGTCTCAGGTTAGTAGCCAGCCAGGGTGGGGGTGTCAGGGTGATTACAATCCTTACAATGGATGTCTTGTGGGGTGGTCCAGTGTGGGGTGCTACAGATGGGTACAATATGGAACAAGTTTTTATGGATAACAACTTCTTTATTTCGTGAGTGCGACGTTTCGATACAGATTCTTGTACCGTTGTCAAGCAAGAGTGATACATGAAGTGGAGGAGCTACATATATATACTGTATATAACAATGAAACAACATACATTGTAATTGACAAAGGAAACAACATAATTTTTCCTTATCCTGACTCATGCTCTTTTTGCTTGTCTTCTTCTTGCGAACATAGTGGAACACTTGTATCTCCCTAATTGAAGCTCCCTTCAATTTAAAATCACTAATTAGTATTCACCACGAGTTACCTCCTTTCCACAAGCGCGGGAACGAGGGCGCCACCTCTACCCATGTGCCTCACTCTCTCCTTCTTCGCCCAGTGAGCTGGACGTGAGAGCGCCTGTGTCTCCCGACACACTATATCCTTTGATTATATTTAGTTAGTTACCTCGTTATAGACATCTATAGAGGTTTAGCTAGTATCCTTCAACGATTATATATTGATATTTAGTCGCTTTTCTACAGTTTATTCACGGACGCCGTGTTTGTTTCAGTGGATTACGTTGATGAAAATTCTGTACTATTGCAGATTACGTTTTTATGCTGCTGCTGATCCACCTTTAATATGATGTAATGCGGCCATGTTTATTATATTCACATTGCAGTTCGCGGTACTAATTTATCCAATTCTACCTCTTTATTAATATTTACTTTGGCGTTTGGTACGCATTTTGCAGCAGATAGGTCGCGTATGCAGAGTCTAGTATGATTGATACACGGAACCCTCGCCAGTCTACTGCTGTTGGCCGACTCCTCCCGTGGTGTTCCGCTAGAGTGGTGGAGAGGTGTGGGACGTAGTCCGCCATCTCCAAGAAGCATTCTGCTTCCCCAGACATCCCATCGTCGCGCAGCAGAAGACTAGAGGGTTTTTCTACTACATCTCAACAACCGGACGTTCCCGCTCGATCAAGTTTGGGCCTGTATGATGATCAGCCGGTCATCATACCGGATGTACATCAAAGATTGACGATGTCGGCACAGATCAGCATGCAGCCTGATGTACCAGCGCGAGATATCGCGATGATCGTCCTGAGGGTCCCATCATTACCAACACTCAGCGCAGGACGCCGCACACCCAGGGCAGCGCCGACCTCTGAGGAAAATCAACGAAGTCTACTGGGACTTTCTCAAGCGAGATTGTTCCAGCCGATGACCTGGACCTCTAACGATGATCAGCTGATCATCATACCGACGACGCATACACAAGAAGCGACCGGGACAGCTACAACGACATCAGCAGAGATCACCATGCAGCCTGATGCTCTACACTGATGTCGGACGATTTTCCGTGGACCCCTCCATTAACACCGCAGATAAAGCATCGGCGACCTTCGTCACAGACCATCCCAGAAGACATGATGCGACAAATTATGAACATCATGGAGGACCAATATCTGCGGTAGCAGAGGTCCGAAGCAGCGAAGGCTCCAACGTAGACAACACCCCCAGAGGCACCCCCCGTCAACGTAGCAGCCAGGACGATGTCACCTTCGCGAAGGAAGTCACGGACCACCTTGACGAAGGACCTAGATGTACAGCCTTCGCAAAGGCGGAAAGAACCTAAATGTACAGCCTTCGCGAAGGACTTGGCGAAGGCAGTGATAGATCATCACCTTATGCGGTTTCATCCCTAGATGTGGACTTCGGACCATCAGACATCACGGAAGCCTTCGCGAAGGTCATATCGTCGTTCCCCGGACCGGACGCAGAGGAAGCGAAGGCATAAGGCATGGCAAGGACACCTGAATCCAGATCATCATCATCTAGAAGGACATCGAGGGACTATACAAGAGCTTCGTGAAACTATCAACGTTCTCCTCACAAGTCTCGAGAGAAGATCAACCCATAGACAAGTTGATCATCGATATCAAGTATAAGAACTACAATCGTATATTGGTTCTGTTGAATCCATGGCCAGGACGATGTTCGCTGGCCTAAATAGATCTAGAACGATCAATTAGACACTTATCACCAGACTTCAGAATAACCACGACTTCTGAATATGATAAGATGATCCATGCGGCCATGCCTTTAGGCAAGCCGCCGATCCCACATCCTGTTAAACACAGAGGCTGTTCACGAAACAAGCGCTCATATATATATTTATATATATATATATATATATACTAATCGGACTTTGATTCGACACCTTAGCGATGGTCGCGAAGGCTAAGTGGCTCCAAGTCTACTTCACCCAGAAGATCTAGAAGGGATGCGCCGAGAACTTCGCGAAGTCTCGGCGCTCACCGAGGAAGTCTCCTCCAAGGTTTCCATATACTAGCCACTTTCGTCATATATAGCTACTTTCGTCCGTCCGTTCAAGGCGTCGCATAAGTTGATTATCAACTGTATGCCAGATGCGATCTATAAGCCTACGCGAAGATAATTGCTCAGGCTATTTACAACACACAGAACGCCGCTGTATTATTAGTCAACGACATTTCATAGATCTTCACAGAAATCAACTATTCGCATTATAAATTGCTAATATACAATCTCGACGGACGATTCACGATTATCTACATGCGTGACCATTACGCATATCTGCAGACAATTCAATATCGAGAAATTGAACAGCAGCCTTGTTACAGCGTAGTATAACTCTTAATCGTCAAAGTTTCTGAGAAGAAATATGTACAACAAGTTCAACGTTAATTCTACAATTATGACGATACATTCATGTATACAGTCTACAAGCTCACAACTTGCAAGTTGTTTATACCCTTATATATAAGGAAGTGGAATTATATTCAAAACTGAAATTACTTTCACGACAACCAGGAAAATAACCTACCCAGCATAAAATTACAGAGCGAGATATTTGGCTACCGGAGGTTCGTAGCGGTTACCATTAACCCTCGAAACACGTGGTCACTTTCGGATAACTTCGGGAAGCTACGGTGAAGACCGGCGTTTATGCTAATATCAACGGCGACAAGAATTTATTCAAGGTGGGTTTTTCCGCTACAACCGATGACATCACAGCGCTGGTATTATACAGAATCAAAATGCCTTGTTCTGATTGGACGCTGAGGGACAACGACCTACACAGAGGTCGATCTCTATTCACAGTTCAAGACTTACGTCACAAGTGACAACTATATATCAGTGAACGAGCAAAGCCTCATTACAGTCCAGTTAACCTGAACATTCATGATTAGACTGCCTTTCTTCAAGATAGAGACCTCCCCTGTCAAGTTAAGACGAGGGATCGGCAGTCAGGCGATTTTTTACATAAAGTTCAACGAGGACAGACACACCTGGTTGTGCACCTACATCGTCAAGGACTTCAGAGCTTAATTACCTAGACGAAAGATACAAGTGGATCTAAATCCACAGCGTTTCAGACTACAGCTGAATTTCATCAAGCGACTAACACAACTAGATGGTTAGTAAACCTACTAAACTTCTGTTTGAGAATAAACGGAAATTTCAGCCTAACCTGGGGATATGAATATAGTGCTCCAACACCTCACAAGTGAGGTTTATGAACACTCGCTTGGATGACATACTTGGACCCCATGATAACGATGATTCTATCAAGATGGCCAGCAAGAGCACTGTAAATTTATCTCCACCAAACCAAACAGGAGTAAAAATGCAACAGATTATTTCCTCTATCATCAACTTACGAGAGAGAAGTCTCATGTACTATATCTCCATTTGGATCAGAACTGTCATACTACGTGCATATCTTGGATGGACCTATTCTCGACCCTCCATGAGCTTAATACTCATGATATTATAGCTTAACTTCTACAATTGTTCCACACAAATGTGATTGAAATATTGGAGGGTTTATTTCTGAGATCCGATATGGTGGTTGCAAACCATTATCTGAGAGATATCACCACCGAGGACGCCTCAGGTATACACCAATTCGATCCCATGGTCCTCGACAACAGCTAACAGTTCTCGGAGAGAAGATAAGTCAATCTAACAGATTTTTACTTATCTTATAACAATACTAAATAGCTTCATGCTATATATAATTTACTTAAGTTCCTTTTATCATCACAGTACTATGATTATTACATCATACAATATATAAGTTAACAACTCTACAGAGTTTGTTATTATATATATTTACCTTAAGTTATTCATATCTTAAGAGTAATATTATGGTTACATGATAAATGCATCAGCTAACAAACTCTACAGAGTTTTGGCTATTTTATACATAGCTTAAGTTAATTAAGCTAACAAACTCTACGGAGTTTTACTATTATATAGGTAACTTAAGCTAATTATACCTTAAGCATAGTACTATACTCATATTATTAAAATATATTGGCTAACAAACTCTAAGGAGTTTTGCTATTATATAGGTAGCTTAAGCTTATTCATATCTTAAGCTTAGTACTATGTTTATATCATATAAGTAGATTAGCTAACAAACTCTAAAAGAGTTTTTGCTATTTGGCTTAAGTATCATCATATTTCTAAGCAATATGGTTATATTATAACATGTATTAGCTAACAAACTCTACAGAGTTTTAGCTATTATATATGTAACAAGCTTATTCATATCTTAAGCGCAGTACTATGTTTATATCATATAGGTATATTAGCTATCAAAACTCTAAAAGAGGGTTTTGCTATTATATATTTCTCGCTTTAAGTTTCATCATATTTTAAGCTTTTATAGTTACATTATAACATGTATTAGCTAACAAACTTCACGGAGTTCTTGCTATTATATATGTAGCTTAAGTTTTCCTTCATAAGCTCAATACTAGGTTTATATCATAGCTAACAAACTCTAAAGGGTTGTTTTCGCTATTATACAATTAGCTTAAGTTTTCATCATATCTTAAGCAGTATGGTTACATTATAAAGGTATTAGCTAACAAAACTCCGACGGAGTTTTGTTATTATATATATATAGCTTAAGTTTCATCATAACTTAAGCTCAGTACTATAAGCTTAGTACTATGGTTACACTATAAACATATTAGCTAATAAACTCTACAGAGTTTTTGGCTATTATATATGTAGCTTAAGTTAATAATATCTTAAGCACAATACTATACTCATATTGTAAAATATATTAGCTAACAAACTCTACGGAGTTTTGCTATTATATATGTAGCTTAAGTTCATTATATCTTAAGCACACTACTATACTCATATTGTAAAATATATTAGCTAACAAACTCTACGGAGTTTTGCTATTATATATGTAGCTTAAGTTAATTATATCTTAAGCACACTACTATACTCATATTGTAAAAATATATTAGCTAACAAAACCCTACAGAGTTTTATTATATATATGTAGCTTAAGTTAATTATATCTTAAGCTCAGTACTATACTAATATTATAAATATATATTAGCTAACAAACTCTACAGAGTTTGGCTATTATATATGTAGCTTAAGTTAATTATAGCTTAAGCACAGTACTATACTCATATTATAAAAAATATATTAGCTAACAAACTCTACAGAGTTTTATTATTATATATGTAGCTTAAGTTAATTATAGCTTAAGCACAGTACTATACTCATATTATAAAATATATTAGCTAACAAACTCTACAGAGTTTTGCTATTATATATGTAGCTAAAGCTTATTCATATCTTAAGCTCAGCATTATATCTATATCATATAAGTATATTAACTAACAAACTCTAAAGAGTTTGCTATTATATAATTAGCTTAAGTTTAATCATATCTTAAGCTTAGTACTATGTTATATCTTAAAGTATTTTAGCTAACAAACTCTAAGGAGTTTATACTAGCATATTAACAAGCTTAAGTCTATTAGTCTTAAGCATTGTATTAATGTTATATATACTTTATCATAATAAGTACATGGTAATAACCTTTTATATGGCAGCTGATAAGTTAGCAGCAGGAATTCATCAGTTCAGTGCCTTTATGAAGTTCCCATAGGGTTATTACAATCATCACAGTTCAAATCACTAATTATTAAAATCCAAAGTATGAGATATTCCCACCTCCGTTCCGTGAGGATGCTACAAGCAAAAAGAGCATGAGTCAGGATAAGGAAAAATATGTAATTTTGGAGTAAAATTGATATTTTATACTTATCCTGACTCATGAGGTCAGCCCTCCCATCCTCCCAAATAACACTTTGGATTTCCTGTAAATTCAAATGTTGGGCTCAGTATATGAGGAGAGAGTGAGGCACATGGGTAGAGGTGGCGCCCTCGTTCCCGAGCTTGTGGAAAGGAGGTAACTCGTGGTGAATACTAATTAGTGATTTTAAATTGAAGGGAGCTTCAATTAGGGAGATACAAGTGTTCCACTATGTTCGCAAGAAGAAGAAGACAAGCAAAAAGAGCATGAGTCAGGATAAGTATAAAATATCAATTTTACTCCAAAAATTACATATTGCCATAATTGGTTAAGCAGTAAGCTTCCTGCTTAACAACATAATTGCCATAATTGGTTAAGCAGTAATTACAATGTATGTTGTTTCATTGTTTCATTGTTACATACAGTATATATATTCAGCTCCTCCACTTCATGTATCACTCTTGCCTGACAACGGTACAAGAATCTGTATCGAAACATCGCGCTCACGAAATAAAGAAGTTGTTATCCATAAAAACTTGTTCCATATTGTACGTCTCAACTTCTAAAAATGCCATTCAAACAAGTTACAGGTGAGAAGCAGGCCAGGATGGGGGTGTCTGTTGGTAGCTGGCCAAGGCAGTTTTTTTGAGTTGATAGCAAACTAGGATATGGGGAGATGTCTCAAGAGGGTAATTGGCCATGGGCTGGGGTGAGGTTGCCAGACGACAGTGCCTCAGACGATTTCGTCACAGATCCTGATGATATGATAACCCATCTAACATTGTATGATGAAAGTTTTCTCATCATTTGATTTTTGTCAGTTCAGTTGTTTTAAACATGATATTCCTATTTGGCAGGTGTTGAACAGACTGACTTTTGCCTCAACATTGTCTCACCTGCGACGTCTCAACTCCCCCATCGGCCGAGACGGTAAACTGGCCCGACCTCGACAGCTGCACAACACCCTGTGGGGTATGATCTGTCCGGCCGAGACACCCGAGGTGAGACTGAACTGCTCTTGCTGTGATTATGAATAGACTGTTCCTTTATGCTTGGGGGCGGTGGGGTAGCCTAATGGCTAAAGTGTTCGCTTGTCACGCCGAAGACTTGGATTTGATTCCCCACATGGGTACAAATGTATGAAGCCCGTTTCTGGTGTCGACCGCCGCGATATTGCTGGAATGTAGCTAAAAGCAGCCTAAAACCATACTCACTCGCTCACTCGGTATGCTCGTTACCACCTCAATCGTGGATAGAGTTTTTACACAGAGAAGAAGTTCACTGGTTTCATCATCAGCCTCCAAAGACACCAAAGATGTTTTGAGATGGTACTTCTTGATTCTGTACTTGTTGGGGAGGTGACGAAGCCGAATGGTTAAAGCGTCTGCTCGTCATGCTGAAGACCCGGGTTTGATTCCCCACATGGCTACTATGTGGGAAGCCCATTTCTGGTGTCCCCGCTGTGATATTGCAGGAATATTGCTTAAAGCGAAGTAAAACGTCACTCACGCACGCACTCACTCACTCGCAAGGTGCAGGGGAATTACATCAGGACTGGTCAGCTAAAGTCAGTATACCGTGTGTGTGGTATCAATGTTTAATTGTGACATGGTATCTCAACAGGCTAGCGCTACAAAACCAGCATTATTCCAGACTAGTACAAGCAGCCACATACACGTGCATGTTGCTGTATAAATGCTATAACCTTGAGTGGGATCTTGTCTCGATGGTGCTCACCTGCGTCTATGTGTACCTGTCGTCACGATATGGCTGAGATATTGCCGATGTGATGTTAAATAATAACTCACTCACTCACTATGTGTACCTGTATTTGTGTCTGTAGGGTGGTGCCGTCGGCCTGGTGAAGAATCTGGCACTGATGGCCTACATCTCTGTGGGGTCGCAACCATCCCCCATCCTGGAGTTCTTGGAGGAGTGGAGTATGGAGAACCTGGAAGAGGTGGCGCCATCGGCCATACAGGAGTACGTAGCCTTGTCCATATATGATTCAGTTTGCTTTAGGAATGATTCAAACAAAACTCGGTATCCTGGGTCAGAGTAGGCCTCCAGTACTATATGCTTGTAAATCAACTGAAATGAGACTTCTGTTTTCAGTGCAACCAAGATCTTCGTGAATGGGTGCTGGGTTGGCATCCATCGTGATCCCGACCAGCTGATGGCCACTCTGAGGAAGCTGAGAAGAGAGATGGACATCATTGTGTCTGAGGTCAGTCATTGTTTGACATTGGTGTCACATTGTGTCCAAGATCAATCAACCTTTAACATGAATAGAATATTATGTCTGAGATCAGTCACATCTTGTAGCTTGTGTCTTGTAGTATATTTAGGATGCATGGCAGTTTTGAATATGTGAGCACATTGCATATTTTCTAGGTATCCATGATTCGCGACTTCCACGACCGTGAGATCCGTATTTACACAGATGCAGGACGTATTTGTCGGCCGCTGCTGATCGTGGAGAATCAGAAACTGCTTCTGAAGCAGAGTCACATCAAGCAGCTGAAACAGAGGGAGTACAACAACTACAGGTAATGCTCACTGTGAACCTGAGGATTCCTGGATTCCTCACCTGTAATCTATTATATGCAGGTCGTGATTGGCTGAGATCCAGATTAGAATTGGTCTTCAGTAACCCATGCTTGTTGTCAGAGGCGATTAACGGGATCGGGTGGTCAGGCTCGCTGACTTGGTTGACACATGTCATCGTATCCCATTTGTGTAGTATGATGCTCATGGTGCTCATCACTGGATCGTATGGTGCAGGCTGCATTATTTACACCGCCGCCATATAGCTGGAATATTGCTGAGTGCAGTGTTCGACAAACAAAAACATGATCGACTGGACGGACGTTGCTCATATCATCCTGTGGAGATTCCAGGTTAGAATAGGTCCCCAGCAACCAGATGGTCACTTTTAGTGCTTGGTTGGTTGTTGTGACCCTTGATGGCATGGATCTTTGTTACAAAAGGACCCGTGAAGATCCGGGGTAGAATAGGTCTTCAGCAACCCATGATTGCCACAAAAGGCGACTATGCTTGTTGTAAAAGGCGACTAACGGGATCGGGTGGTCAGGCTCGGTGACTTGGTTGACACATGTCATCGGTTCCCAATTGCGCAGTTTGATGCTCATGCCGTTGATCACTGGATTGTCTGGTCCAGACTCGATTATTTACACACCGCTGCCATATAGCTGGAATATTGCTGAGTGCGGCGTAAAACTAAACTCACTCACTCACTCAAATAACAGATGGAACTCAACCCAATAAAGAACAAGAATCTGTACTTTACTGAGAAAGTGTAATCCCAAATATAGCATGTTTCATTTGCTTACAAGGCATGATTTAACTAATACCGTCCAAATGTGTTGAACACATTTCACTGATTTAACTGCTTGCTCAGTATTGTTGTTCCAACTGGTATATGTGTCTAAATTTGTAGATAAGTTTACTTGCACTATCAGCAAATGATGCCAGCTCCAAACAGGGCCTGTGGATACTGGAACATATTCATCCTGTCCTAGCTACTGTGTACAATGCCCATTGATCTGTCCCCAGTTGGCAGGACTTGGTAGCGGCGGTGTCGTGGAGTATATTGACCCCGTGGAAGAGGAGACGATCATGTTGGCCATGACCCCAGACGACCTCCAGGAGAAGGATTCGGCGTATTGTTCCACCTACACCCACTGTGAGATCCACCCTGCCATGGTGCTTGGGGTCTGTGCCTCCATCATCCCATTCCCTGATCACAACCAGGTACAAACTTCGGTCCTCCTGGACCTGTCTTGATAATAAGAGCCGCAATCCATAATTGGTAAACATAAGAAAATATTTTCATGTCTTTTGTTTACTTGAACATGTTTACAGTGTGTTTGATTTAAAAATGGAGTCATTTTAAATAAAATAAATGAGTAGAAATCATACAACAAATTACAATGAAAACTCAAATTAAATGTTTTTAAGCACACTTTGGCTAATATTTCTGAGTTTGTTTTAGAAAATCAGTTGAAAACAATAAAATACCTCCTGCCTCTGTTTTTTAAGAATGGGATGGAAATATGGTTGTGGCTTAATTTTCTAATTAAATGATGGCATTAATATGGAGTCTTGTACACTGGTTGAAGACATATGGCTGGCTGTATGTATGTGGAGAGGTATGTAACTCTGGTGTCTGTGTTCCAGTCTCCTCGTAACACATACCAGTCTGCTATGGGGAAGCAGGCTATGGGCGTTTACATCACCAACTACCACGTGAGAATGGACACCCTGGCCCACGGCCTGTTCTACCCCCAGAAACCCCTCGTCACCACACGATCCATGGAGTATCTCCGCTTCAGAGAACTACCAGCTGGTGGGTACAAGCTGCTGTTCAGATTGTGATACAGCTGTACGCAGTGAATTACATCTACATCAGTGTTGTACCATTGCGTTAATTGTCTTCCAAATGGGTAATACTGTGGCAGTGACTTACTGTAATCCTATCTACCAGACTGGCATACCATTGACGTAACTGTCATATCATTGACCTGAATGTTACACCATTGACCTGACTGTCATATCATAGCACTGATTGCCATATCCTTGACCTGATTCTCATATCCTTGACCTGACTCTCATATCATACCACTGACTATCATACCATAGCTCTGATTGTATTACCATTGACCTGATAATCATATCATACCACTGACTATCATACCAATGCACTGAACGTAATGCCATTGACCTGACAATCATATCATACCACTGACTATCATACCATAGCACAGACCGCCTCCATGGTGTAGTGGTTAGAGCGTCATACCAAAAGACGCTAAAATATGTTGCTTGTTGGTCCCTGCCTGGCGCTCGGCATTAATGGGTACAACAAGGACTGGTCGGCTCGGAGTCAGTATAATGTGTCTGAGTGGGGTATTCGTGCTTCACTGCGGCATGGTATCTCAGTGGGCTAGCACTATAAAACCAGCTTCAGTCTGGGCTAGTTACAAGCAGCCGCACATACACGTACACACGCATGCATGTCGTCATATGAGCGAAATATTCTCAAGCACGACGTTAAACCCAATTTCACCTCACCTCCCCATACCATAGCACTGACTGTAATACCATTGACCTGAATGTCATATCCTTCACTTCACTGTCATATCCTTGCACTGATTGTAAATACAATTGACCTGCCTGTCATACCATTGACCTGACTATCATCGCCTTGATCTGACTTTCATATCATTGCACTGACTGTTGTATCATAGCACTGTCTTACCTTTGACCTGACTGTCTTACCTTTGACCTGACTGTCATACCTTTGACCTGACTGTCTTACCTTTGACCTGAATGTCAATGTCATACCTTTGACCTGAATGTCATACCTTTGACCTGAATGTTATACCTTTGACCTGTCATACCTTTGACCTGAATGTTATACCTTTGACCTGACTGTCATACCTTTGACCTGTCATACCATTGACCTGTCATACCTTTGACCTGAATGTTATACCATTGACCTGTCATACCTTTGACCTGTAATACCTTTGACCTGACTGTCATACCTTTGACCTGACTGTTATACCATTGACCTGTCATACTTTTGACCTGACTGTCATACCTTTGACCTGTCATACCTTTGACCTGAATGTTATACCATTGACCTGTCATACCTTTGACCTGACTGTCATACCTTTGACCTGACTGTCATACCATTGACCTGTCATACCTTTGACCTGAATGTTATACCATTGACCTGTCATACCTTTGACCTGTAATACCTTTGACCTGACTGTCATACCTTTGACCTGACTGTTATACCATTGACCTGTCATACTTTTGACCTGACTGTCATACCTTTGACCTGTCATACCTTTGACCTGAATGTTATACCATTGACCTGTCATACCTTTGACCTGACTGTCATACCTTTGACAGGACTGTCATACCTTTGACAGGACTGTCATACCTTTGACAGGACTGTCATACCATTGACCTGTCATACCTTTGACCTGAATGTTATACCATTGACCTGTCATACCATTGACCTGTCATACCATTGACCTGACTGTCATACCTTTGACCTGACTGTTATACCATTGACCTGTCATACTTTTGACCTGACTGTCATACCTTTGACCTGTCATACCTTTGACCTGAATGTTATACCATTGACTTGTCATACCTTTGACCTGACGTCATACCTTTGACCTGACTGTCATACCTTTGACCTGACTTATACCATTGACCTGTCATACCTTTGACCTGAATGTCATACCATTGACCTGTCATACCTTTGACAGGACTGTCATACCTTTGACCTGAATGTTATACCATTGACCTGTCATACATATGACCTGACTCTCATACCTTTGACCTGAATGTTATACCATTGACCTGCCATACCTTTGACCTGAATGTTATACCATTGACCTTACTAATAACATTACATTAGGTTTTCTGAGCCAGTCCATGTGCCTGTTCCAGGTATCAACTCTATCGTGGCCATCGCCTGCTACACAGGGTACAACCAGGAAGATTCTGTCATCTTGAACCAGGGAGCCATCGACAGGGGGTTCTTCCGGTAGGCAGCCAGTCAGGAGTCATGAACGTTTACCTGTGATGTGATTGTTTGGATGTGATGTGTTCAGGCTCAGGCTCGAATACTTGGCAGGCGATTGATTTTGCTGTGCTTTTGTTATTTAAGAGGGAAAAGATCTGTAAGTTTGAAGTACGACAGTTGAATGTGACATTCAATCACTTAGGCTTTCTGACACTATGACAGTTTATTCAGGGCAGTGGAAGAAAAATTGTCATGCAATGTGATGTTTCCGAGTGACCACCAACTACTGTTTTGGCTGATCTTAGTGTATGTTTCAATATGATGATCGTGATTTTAACTGTCAACTGAATTTGTTTTCAGATCCTTTTTCTTCCGTTCCTACAAGGATTCTGAATCTAAGAAGGGTCTCGATCAAGAGGAGGTGTTTGAGAAGCCAACCAGAGACTACGTCCAAGGTAAACACACTGACGCGTTTGACCTGACTCGTTTGATCTAACTCTGACCATATTGATCTGACAAGACAGGTTGGACCAGCCACCAACAACATCAAACAACACACTTGCCACAGATTTGAACTTAATCTTCATAGCGAATCTTGCATACAATGATCCCTTTTCCACGTACTCAGTTATTGTGATATTAAGCACGGAACTGGGATGTGAGATGGACATGGCTGTAAGACTGGTGTTTAGATTGTTTTGGTTATGTGATGAAGATATGTTGTATGTTAGTACTTTGATTTGTTCATGATCGAAATAATGTGGTTGTTTGGAAAGTAGCGACTAACGGGATCGCGTGGTCAGACTTGCTGTCTTGTTTGACACATGTCATCGTATCTCAATTGCGTAGAACGATGCTCATCTCAATTGCGTAGAACGATGCTCATGCTGTTGATCACTGGATTGTTTGGTCCAGCTCGATTCTTTACAGAGCGCCGAGCGTCATATCACTGGAATATTGCTGAATGTAGCAGTAAACATCAATCAATCAATGTTTAGAAAGAAGCCTCATGAAAACAGTTGAGAATCTTAGAAATGAGGAACTTGAATCATTGACATGTTTTGTTGTCCTATTAACAAAATACCTCTTATATTTGAAACAAATGTGAACAAAATCAGAAATTGCTAGATTGGTATTACCATGTGAATTTGTTTTGTTGCTGGCATATGTTTTAACTGAACCAGCATAGCACCAGTTAATATTTTACAGACAGTTTTACATGCTCAGTAAGTTGATGATGTCTTGAAATGAGCTGTTTTGACATCTGATTGTGTTGTGTGAAGGTATGCGGCCAGCGACATATGACAAACTGGATGAAGACGGCATCATCGCCCCTGGAACCCGAGTGTCTGGAGATGATGTGTTGATTGGGAAGACTATCACGCTCCCAGCTAACGACGATGAGGTCAGTTTGAAATGATGGTGTTTCAGCTAGGTTTAAAATATGTGTATAATTAGATTTAAGCATGTTCATCAAGTTTGAATTCTACATTATTATTCTGTTTTTAAATCATGGGTTTACAGTGAAAACTGTCAGAATTCTGTTACTTTATACTTAGTTATCACTTACCCTGTGTTATTAACATTATTAAAGTGTTGCTCATGATATCAATTACTGGTTTGTCCATCTTCATTATTTAAAAGCTTTCGTCATATATTTAGGATATTGCTAACTGTGTCCTTAAATGGTGTTAAAACAAATGATTGTCCTTTGTTATTCAACATTGTTTTCTCAAATGAGATAAAAGCTGTAAAATATGTTTTCAACTGTTTGTGTTGCAGCTCGAGTCCACAGCCAGGAGGTTCTCCAAGAGAGATGCCAGTGTCTTCATGAGGAGGACTGAGACAGGCATTGTAGATCAGGTGAACAATTCAATCACCATATGTTTTGATTTTATAGAATCAGTGGTCATCGGGATAAGAGATACAAAATACCTGGTATTTGATATTTAAAAGCCAAAACCACTCACTGAGGTATTGCAACAGCATGGCAATGAAGTGAGCATGCTTAGAATTATCAAGAGTGATAATTATTGTTGGGTACTTGTCACCATCAGTTGGTGAGTATGTTTTTTGCAGCTCTTAGCAATATTCCCGCAATATCACGGTGGGGGACACCAGAAACGTGATTCACACCGTGTGCCCATGAGGTTAATTGAACCCGGGTCTTAGGCATGATGAGCGAACGCTTTAACCACTAGGCTATCCCACTGCATCTTGTTACTATCAGTCGTATCAGTTGTTATGTGTAGCTCAACCTGGCTGTGTACACTCCCAATTGCTTGTCAATCTGTCGCTGGATCAGCTGTTACATCCTTAGTGACATCGCTTCTGATGTTGTAGGTGATGGTGACCATTAACAATGATGGCTACAAGTTCTGCAAGATCCGAGTCAGGACCGTGAAGACGACACAGATCGGAGACAAGTTTGCTAGTAGGCACGGACAGAAGGGAACCTGTGGTATAACATACAGGCAAGAGGTAAGATATGGTCGCTCTGAAACAATACAAGTCTTAGTTTTAGTATTAGTAAAGCAGTTATGACTGTTGTCATGACTTACATTAAGCCAAGTAACATTAATCCATTATGCTTATGCATGACGACCCATGAAGATCTTGGTTAGAATTGATCTTCAGCAAACCATGCTGGTTGTAGGAGGCGACTAATAGGATCGGGTGGTCAGGTTTGCTGACTTAGTTGACACATGTCATCGCATCCCAGTTGTGAGATCAGTGGATTTACAGACCGCTGCCATGTAGCTGGAATATTACCGAGCATTAAACAACAAACAAACTTATGCATGACAGTGTATTATTGCGGTTTCGAATCCCGTACTTTCCCCGATTCTGATTCTCTGTGCATAATCCTTTATCATGTGTTTCACCAAATAGTATTTGGCAGCGATAGCTTCAGTCTTTCTACCACATCGGGCTGACCTGCCTGTAACCGAAGTGTCTTTCAAAGCATTATTGTACCAAACTCTCGATAATTTATGTACGAAGTAATGGCTTTTCTTTTTCCTGATGTAAGACTTGTTTGTTCAGGACATGCCCTTCACGTGTGAGGGGATCACCCCCGACATCATCATCAACCCCCACGCCATCCCCAGTCGTATGACCATTGGTCACTTGACAGAGTGCCTGCAGGGCAAGGTTGCCGCCAACAAGGGCGAGATCGGTGACGCGACACCCTTCAACGATGCTGTCAATGTACAGAAGGTGTCTGATCTGCTCAGTCAGTACGGCTATCATCAGAGAGGCAATGAGGTAAGTGTGTGTGGGTCATAGTGGATAGATTCAGCTTGGGATGAAGGCCATTAAAGAAGACAGGATTTAGTTACTCGCTCTGTCCACATGTGCTTGAAAATAAATTCTAAGAGTGTCGAAATTCATTGAAAGACCTTGAAAATGTATCATTCTATTCTTTGTTGATGCTGAGGTTAATGTAGTTTTCTTAAAGAAACTGTCAGTGAATACCAGAAATTGGTAATAACGACTTTGGTGATGCTACACATTCATTTTAGTGGATCTTGAAAATGTTTCCTAAAATTTGTCCTTTAACTGTATAAATATTCGGAAATTTAGGGAGTAACCTAATAAGTTTTGTCTCTCAGTATCACTATAAATTTTCATCACCCATATTTCCTTCAGCCTTTGAGAATATTTGAGTTGTAACCATTCATGTAGTGCTATACATACCTGGTTAACTGTAAACTTTACTTTAACAGTTACGTCAAAGTATGTTCTGTCTCGGATCATTCTCATATTGTTTTTCTCCTGTGTGAAGGTTATGATGAATGGGCACACAGGACGTAAGCTGAACGCCCAGATCTTCTTGGGTCCCACCTACTACCAACGTCTCAAGCATATGGTGGACGACAAGATCCATTCCCGAGCCAGGGGCCCCCTACAGATCCTCAACAGACAGCCCATGGAGGGAAGATCGCGGTAAGATGGAGGAGGAGGGATTGTATATTGAGGGGTGTTATGTAACTACGAATGGGGTTAGAATTGTTCATCGACCCATGCTTGTTGAAAGAGGTGACCAACGGGATCGGGTGGTCAGGCTCATTGACGTGGTTTACACATGTCATCGTATCCCAATTGTGCAGAATCGATGCTCGTGCTGTTAATCAGTGGATTGTCTGGATGTGACTCAATTATTGACAGGCCACCGCCATGTAGCTGGAATATTGCTGAATGCGGTGTTAAACAACACACCAAACAGCTGGAATACAGCTGGCATGAAACAACATGCACTTCAATCCAGTCAGGGCAAGTTAACTGCCAATCTTGTGGAAAGGAAAAGGCATGATATATATGTAATACTTCAGTTGTGGAAAGACATACATTAATGTTGACATTGTTGATGTTTTCCAGTGATGGCGGTCTGCGTTTTGGTGAGATGGAGCGAGATTGTCAGATTGCCCACGGTGCCGCGCAGTTTCTTAGAGAGAGACTCTTGAGGCGTCAGACCCATACCGGTGCCATGTGTGCAATATCTGTGGCCTCATCTGCATCGCCAACCTCCGCAACCAGACGTTCGAGTGCAGGGGTTGCAAGAACAAGACACATGTAAGAAAACTTGTACACAAGTCAGCTCCGCTGATAGTATCCATTTCTGGTGTTACCCGCCGTGATATTGCTGGAATATTGCTAAAAGCTGCATCACTCACTCTACTGATAGTATAAGCATGTATTCCAAACTATGCATGTATACTAGAATATGAATGTATACTAGAATAGGCATGTTTTCAAAGCTTGAAAGGAGTGCTTTCGATTAAGTCTCTTTGCATGAAGATTAAGAACAGATGCCCATAACACCCACCATGAGTTCCACTGGATGCAAAAGAGTGTGAATGTTGAATTGAAATAAACCAAAGCATGCAAGATTTATGTGACAATTGTAACAAGGGTGGTGGGGTAGCTTTGTCGATATAAGCGTTCACTTGTCGTGCTGTCAACCAGGGTTCGATATCCCACATGGGTACAATGTGTGAAGCCCTTTTCTGGTGTCCTCCGCCATGATATTGCTGGAATATTGCTAAAAGCAGCTTAAAACCCAAGCGGTGTATGACATGGTGAAGTTTGGCTTGAGTTTGGCATACACAGACAATGTGGATAGTTGCCTCTGATTGACCTTGTTTATTTACAGGCCATCAGGATATAGCTAGGCTGACATGTATACAGATTTACGTTCAGACCGGTTTTTGGCTTCAGATAGCATTGTATTCTTATTTTCCAGATTTCCCAGGTGCGGATTCCGTATGCGTGCAAGCTGTTGTTCCAGGAGCTGATGTCGATGAGTATCGCGCCTCGTATGATGGTCATTGCCTAGTGTGTGTGTGTGTCACGGAAGGAACGAGTCAGTGAGCTCCGGATGAGAACAGCATGGAATCATTTCACAGACAAAATTCATTCATTCATTAACAGTTAATGATCCAAAGATGAACGCCTCTGCCCTCATTGAGCAGTTTTCAATGTGGTGACTGGAAATTCTGATCTGAGGATATGTTGATGAACAAGACAAGTGTTTCTTCTAAGAGCTAGTTGCTATACCTACATGTATGGTACACTGTGGAGATGGTATTTGAAGTGCTGTAATCTGTAATTCCTGGATTCAATTTAGGAAAGTATTTTCATTTTACTCAAGAATGTTGAGTATTTAGCTCTACCTTGGATTGGTGAGCAACCTGGTGATTTAAGTGTTTGCATGTCAAGTTAAAGGTCTGTGTTGACTTCCCCATGGGGTAATACATTGAGCCATTTTCTGGCGTCCCCAACCCTATGGATTTGCTAAAAGTGGAACAAAATGCTCTTGCTCTTCCAGTTACATACAGGTTTTCTTGAGTGATATTTAGATGCTTGGAGCATGCTGGTGCCATTTGGTAAACTTGCAGTCAAGAGTTCTAAAAATATTTGTAAATGCTTTTCAAGAATATGTACTCTACCCAAAATATGTTTAGGGTCACTAACAGTAGTATTATAAAACATTGGTTCTCTACTACTTTTGTACATATTACTACATGTTGGTATTCTGTTTGAAATTATTTGATTTTGGGGCGGTGGGGTATCCTAGTGGTTAAAGTGTTAGCTTGTCACGCCGAAGACCCAGGATCGATTTCCCACATGGTTCATGGATATTTGATTTTGACTGCAGGACTACAGATGTAATACATGTTGCTATAGAAGTAATGTATACATGTACACAGTACATTGTCATCAGATCATGATTTCTGTAAATTATTCAACACCCCTCATCTTGTCATTTCATTATGTTGATATTGTACATATTTTCAACCTGTAATTAAAGCTTTATATCAATATGGCTGTTTATTGAATACTTGGCTTTCTCTTGATTACTTGTATTTTGTTTGCTTTCCAAATATGTGCCGCAGCGTATCAACTCAAAACCAGAGTGGCTTGGAACAGATGTGTGGCCAGTTTTCTGTTCTTTCTGTCTGTTATGAGAGATAGGCATTCGCTGCTGATCAAGGAATGCTGACAAAATTCCAGACTGAAGGCAAAACATGTTTGACTCATTGTCTGCTTTCCAAATGTGTGTGAAACAGTATCGCCTCCATGTAGTTTCATTAATAGTTGTTACACTTTATATCAATTAATTTTACTACATGGAAATTTATGATTTAGTGGTGTCATTTCACTGCAGCAGCATTTGTGAAGATAATTCTTCATCTAGAACTGATCCGGGTAAGAATATTGATCTTCAGTAACCCATGCTTGTCATAAGAGGCAACTAATGGGATCGGGTGGTCAGGCTCGCTGGCTTGGTTGACACGTCATCGGTTCCCAATTGTGCAGTTGATCTCTGGATTGTCTGGTCCAGACTTGATTATTTACAGACCGCCGCCATATAGCTGGAATATGGCTGAGTGCGGCTCATCAAGAACAATAAGTAGATCAGATTTTGTCATGATTTCAATGAGACATTCAGTTGTACAAACTGAGGTTCATAAAGAATCATACCAACGTGTGAAGATTTATTCTTCAGTGGCGTACATATGTAATGAACAAGCATAAAGAATATACATGTATAAATAACTAGGAATGCTTTACAATGCTGGTCAAAAGCACATATACACAAATGCAGCCAACTTGAAGCCCTCACAAACTGCTATAGTATTGTATTGATAGTTTCATGCATGTCTGTACATTTAAAAGAATATTTGGAATTCTAAAATATTCATAGAAAGAACCTGCCACTATTTCTGGGATGGAAATAGAAGTTTGTATTGGGTTTCTGTCACAAAGCAATTGAAGTACAATTAAAATAGAATTTAAACACATGTTGAGACCACTCTGCCCGAACTGTACATCATAATATTGAGTCAAATGTATCCATTACAATGAAATGGATTGCCGTTACCTTCTGTTATATACACTTAATATTTATCACATTTAGATAATCAGGAAAATGATGAAAGACCAAAGTTCAATCCCTCTACCTCAAGAGGGAGACACACATTAATTCAATGCTATCCAGTGTGCGAAATAGTTTCCAAATTTTGCTAGCCAGTCAGGCTGGCTATGCCTGAAAGTTACTAGCCTCCAAATAATTCACTAGGCCGACATTTGAATGTAGAAACTAAGCAAAAGATATTGTCGGCATGTGGGGGTTTCATCATTAAGCTACTGATGAACAGTTTTCTCAGGCCATAATCCTGTATTATTTAAAAGTGTATTATAACTTAAGAGTGATATATTTACAAAATGACCCCATGAAAATTCACTATCCAGCCGGGCCAGTGACTCTGAAGATTTACTGGCCCGACTGGAATTTTACTAGCCGTGGGCCAACGGGCCAGTGGTTATTTCGCACACTGATGCTAACTAACCTTAATACCATTTCCTGTAATAAACACCCTGCAAATTACAAACAAATTTGTAAGTATTCTTAACAACTGTCCCTTCCAAGTTAAATATTTCTGTTACTGACATATAGAAAACATTGTGAGACAATGTAACATGTCCTAAATGTAATCTCTACATTTGAAGGATATTACTCAAGTTCTGACAGAGATAATCGGATACATCATTCTAATTACATATACACTTTCCATGATACACAAAACAGATCCACTTAATATGTAAAGATAAAAATATCCTCATCCGAAGTGGAGTAATATCTGTTATCAAATGTGCCCAGGGCGCTTATTATTGTATGGATAGGAATAAATCTTTTAATTTATCTCTGGTATCTAATTGTACTTTGATTTAATCAGCACCATCCTCTGTTAACATTCTATGTGCCCAGGGTGTTTATTAGGACAAATATGGTATGGAAAGGAATCTGCAAGCATGCATCTTAATCTGAATAGCATGATTAAAACTTGATAGAAAAACAATGAATCTTTAGATGGACACAAACCCTGGTGGACATCTGCTGATTTCATGAAGCAGCGCAAGCAGTTGAACGGTATCAGATATCTGTTGCTGTTTAACACTGATACAAGGTTAGCAGATTGATTTCTGCTTTTCTATCATCCAATTTGAGAAGTAACAGGATACATGTACAATTGTAGAATGAAATATATAGTAAGAGGTGGTTAGTTATAGGCAGTTAGACAGCCAGAAATTCTTATACCAGACTCCTGCTAGAGCAAACCTGAATGGCTGAAAGGGATACGTCAGTATTTGGCTCAACAGTAGTCATGGAATATGGTATATTACACAACATATGATAGAGATACAAGAACGCATCTCTGTCTAGGCATCCCTATCAAAAGTAGAACTATATATAGTAATGACACGCATACATTTAGCATGAGCAACAAAAGCTTCCTCATTCCGGATATACTCGACCTTGACCGGCAAATATTTCCGTGTTAAGACGTAGATGTGATAAACGAGTGTATGAAATAAGGCCCGTCCGACCGCCCGAGACGAGCTAGATTTCTGACGGACGGTCTAATTTTACAGCTAGCCAGCCCGATGGACGGGTGAAAAAAAAATATTCAGATAATGGGTCCACTGGCACTGTCTATTTAGTATTTAAGAAGGACTGTTTAAATCTCTTCTGGGCTGGTAAGTTTTTGAAGTTACTAGCCCAGATGTCTGGCTGGAATTTTTGGCTATTTCATACACTGGATAAATGCTGCTTTTAGAAATATTCCAGCCATGATGGAGAATGACAGACGTTTGCTTGACCTGTATCTATGCGAAGAATCGGACATTTTATCATATCAAGCACTTTATCCACTGGGCTAACCCCACCAGACTGAGTTCGCCTTTCCAGCACTCGTCAGTAGTTGCGGGGTAGTGTGAAGCATCATCTCACAGTAACACAGAATTACACGTCTGGTGTATAACAAATGCATCTGCTCTGTAAACCAAAGGACTAGACAATTCCTACTGAGCTCCCTCCTCCATGAAGATCTGGCTCGCTGAGTATCACAAACGTAATGAGACTAAATATACATTATTTCATAACATACCCTAACATCATGTTGACAAGAAAACTCTAACAAAACAAAAGAAAACATGGTTTGTCATTGTTGATGGAAAAACATAACTTATTTCACAAATATTTGGAAACTTATTAATATGAATTATATGTAGTAAAATTACCATTGCAGCATTCACTACAAAGAAAAATGAAAAAAGATCATAATACTTGTGTATGTCATATATCCTGGAAGTACTGACTCTGAAAGTTCTAGTTTAGTTTTACGCCACTTTTAGCAATATTCCAGCAATATCATGGCGGGGGACACCACAATGTGCCCATATGGGGAATCGAACCCGGGTCTTCGGCATGACGAGCGAACGCCTTAACCACTAGGCTACCCCCACCAGCCCGACTCTGAAAGAGTTCAATATGTTCATATCAACATTTCAGGTTAATAAAAAAATGTCCGAAGAATCAGGATATGACAATAAGCATTTTCTGTATTGAGTTGAAATGCTCAGTTTTCCTTCCTTCATAAGTAATTTGATTTGTGTTCATAAATATCACTTATAATGTTCAACTTTTAAATAAGAGCCTCACCCATAAACTTTCATTACACCTGCAAACACTTTCACACAACACCCATTCTAATATTCAAATGCGTTGGTGGTTTGTAATATATTACATTTCACAAGTTTACAATGATACTGTGTTAGGTGAATAGTATTTCAACTTCCTTCAAGAGTTGCTGGCCCTTGTTGCCCGCTAGGTGGCAGTAGTACTCGGCAGCTTTCCTCAATCCAAGGTTAGTCAGAAATCTGGCATGTTCCAGGAAGACTGCTTCCATCAGTGAAGCTGAAGTTAGATATACAACCTGCAGATTCATCCAGACTGTACCAAGAACATTAATGGCTGGAAAAATCTCTTTAAAATACCATTGTTCAGATTCAGTATATCTCTGTGTGAAGATATGATTAAAACCTCAAAACATCTTCAGTGTCCACAGACCAATTGGGGAAATCTGGGATTTGGATTCTTGGCATGTTCAGGGATGCAATTCTGCATAGCAAATTATTGGTCACGGGTAACCTTTCTCATGCAGAAAAAATTCCTTAAATGCACCAAGAGCGAGCCAGTTTACATGACAAGCGTGACAAGCGAACACCTTAACCACTAGGCTACCCCACCGCCTCGCGTGTGTATGTGTATGTGTGGCTGCTTGTACTAGCCCAGACTTAAGCTAGTTTTATAGTGCTAGCCCACTGAGATACCATGCCGCAGTGAAGCACTCCACTCAGACACATTATACTGACTCCGAGCCGACCAGTCCTTGTACCCATTAATGCCGATCACCAGGCAGGGACCAACAAGTACCACGGAGGCGGTCTAATACGATTTTAACATTATATTTATGTATATGTATCATTAGGTCCAGAAAATACATTTTATGAATTAAGATCTGATCCTGAAGAAGCCCTACACTAAAATCGTTACATGAGTGAGAGGTGTGACTTATCAACTGACCAGTTTCGGGTGTCTTCTCGATGACCCCAAACTCCAGACAAGCCTCGATGAAGCAGGTGGCCCTGTCAAAGCATCTCATCCCATACAGCATCTCCACCACCTTGAAGAACTGGCCGAGAGACAGCAGCACCAACAGGGCCTTGCTCTGCACCACACAGACAGCAAAACATACACATACTTCTAGTGAGTGAGTGAGTTGGGTTTTATCTCCGTACTCCAGTAACATCACTCTGAACAAAACATCTTTACAGGGGACACCAGAAATGGGTATCACACATTGTACCCATGAGGGAACTAGAACCCAGGACTTTGGCCTGACAAGCGACCGCTTTAACCACTAGGCCACCCCACTATCCCCTACTTAAGGTGCATCTTTTTGAGACATAAACAGACTGAACTGTAACTTAAAACGTATTTATTAGAATATTCATTCATTATCTTATTCTCAAAACAGCTCTATTTGTACATCCCTAGTATATCAATATTCAAGTCCATATACCAATGTTGTAATATAGACACACTTGTCACTAGTTTGGTGTACAGGATGTTACGAGCTGGATGACCACAGGATTGCTTCTGAAATGTTGCTACTGATAGTGATGCACACAACTTATTTTCGGTGGTATCAATCTCAAGATTCAGACTTCTCAAGAAATGTCTTTTCAAACCTGTGTGCCAATCTGGATATGTTGGACTGAGTGAATTGGAATAATATATAAAAATATTTTCAGTCTCAAATCAAGCTATAATCCTAATGTTACTGAACATAATTTTCTTTGACAAACTTTCTTTGAATTGTAAACTTGATCCTATATTACCTATTTTCTAGGTCTTTTCAAGCCTGAGTAAAACATGTAACTAACCTGGATATGTGAGATAGAGTGAATTGGAAACATTTAGACAAAACAATTATGAGACTCAAATCTAGCTAACATCATCCTAATGTTACTTAACATAATTTTCTTGACCATCTTTCCTTAAATTGTAAATGTGATCCTTATATTATCAGTGTTATATTAAATATTACCTTCAGGTTGACTTGTGTTCCACATAGATGATCAGTCCATCTCTTCATTACTTCACTGCATTCACTGTTGTCTAGGGTAGCCTGAAATATCACACAGAAGTAGTCTGTTTTAGAGGAGTCTTCGAGCGATTAGCTGTGAGAACATGCAGCATGCAATTGGCAGCACTCTGTTAAATCATATGTTATTTGTTATTTGGTTGCATAAAAAGACAACCGAAAATGTCATGAACAAGAATGCAGAATTCCCCAAGAGTTCCAGAGACATAAATGTCTCCTCAAGGTCTAGCGGCTTCCAAGAGAACATGATTGAGAGTGGAAACCAAGGGGGATAACTCTGGAGTGACAAGCTTGAGTAGAATTTGAGTGAGTGAGTGGATCGTGAGTGAGTGAGTGGATCGTGAGTGAGTGAGTTAGTGGATTGTGACTGGGTGAGTGAGGTTTTTAATGCTCTTTGAACAGTTTTCCAATTCCCAAACTCTGCACGTCGAATTGCAGCGCCTTAGACGAATATGCCACCCATAGCTCTGAAATAGTTGTTTGAAATAGGACCAGTTCTATTTTGTTAAACATGCATTCAGACAGACAGACCCTGGTCATACAGCAGACCCTTGTCGTGCAAACAGACAGACCCTGGTCATGCAGCAGACCCTTGTCGTGCAAACAGACAGACCCTGGTCATGCAGACAGATCCTGGCCATGCAGACAGTCAGACCCTGGTCATGCAGACCCTGGTCATGCCCCCAGATAGACCTAGTCAGACAGACAGACAGACCCTGGTCATGCAGACAGACCCTGGTCATGCAGACAGTCAGACCCTGGTCATGCCCCACGACAGACCCTGGTCATGCAGACAGTCAGACCCTGGTCATGCCCCACGACAGACCCTGGTCATGCAGACAGTCAGACCCTGGTCATGCCCCACGACAGACCCTGGTCATGCAGACAGTCAGACCCTGGTCATGCCCCACGACAGACCCTGGTCATGCCCCCAGATAGACCTAGTCAGACAGACAGACAGACCCTTGTCATGCACACAGACAGACCTGGTCATGCCCCCAGATAGAACTGGTCATGCAGATAGACCCTGGTCACACAGACAGACCCTGGTCATGCCCCCAGATAGAACTGGTCATGCAGATAGACCCTGGTCACGCAGTCAGACCCTGGTCATGCCCCCAGCCAGATAGACCTGGTCACGCAGTCAGACCCTGGTCATGCCCCCAGATAGACCTGGTCATGCTTATAAATTGACCCACAACATACACATTGAGTCCTGACCTTGGCCAGCCAGACGGCCTTGTCCCAGTTGCCGTATGTCTGGAGGTAGCGACACGCATCCAACCCCTTGTCTATCAGACACAGCAGCTGTACCCCTTCTGTAACATACAAGCCAGCACTTAATCATAGACACATAACAAGCATTAACCAATATACTGGTTCCTGGCACGCCAAAGGGACGTCACTCTGCACATCAAATTCTGGGGCCTGTATTGACTGTCCCTGTACATACCCGACAATTTTCCATTGGCGATGAGATTTGTGGCAACAAGCTTGATGGTGCTCTGTGAGGCTCCGGAAGACCTGATGCTGGCTACGAGGCATGCCCTGCAGAACAACAGGTCGACTGTCAGACAAAGTATCAGGACCACCCAGGCAACAGTTGACTTCTCAATGTCACCAGTCCATGTTATTTCACAAATTTTATTCAAATTTAACAAACTGGGGTATTTGATGCCACATATTTCTTATCTTGACTTAGTTGATAAAACCCAACTTCCTGAGATAGGATCAATATATCAATATCACTCACCATTTACATAACACTTTACACCCATCTGACACTGTCCGTCCACCTGAGACTATCAACCCCCTTGGTCCACCCACACTAACAATGATGTAGGTGTCCACCCACCTGGTCAACCCACACTAACAATGTAGTAGGTGTCCACCCACCTGGTCCACCCATACTATCAATGTAGTAGGTGTCCACCCACCTGGTCCACCCACACTAACAATAATGAAGGTGTCCACCCACCTGGTCCACCCATACTATCAATGATGTAGGTGTCCACCCACCTGGTCCACCCACACTAACAATGTAGTAGGCTTCCACACACCTGGTCCACCCGAACTGACAATGATGTAGGTGTCCACCCACCTGGTCCACCCACTAGCACCCACCTGGTCCACCATACTAACAATGTAGTAGGTGTCCACCCACCTGGTCCATCCATACTATCAATGATGTAGGTGTCCACCCACCTGGTCCACCCGCACTAACAATGATGTAGGTGTCCACCCACTTGGTCCACCAAGCACTAACAATGTAGTAGGTGTCCACCCACCTGGTCACACCAATGCACTCCACCCAACAATGTAGCTGGTGCCCACCTACCTGGTCCACCCACACTAACAATGATGTAGGTGTCCACCCACCTGGTCCACCCACACTAACAATGATGTCCACCCACCTGGTGTCCACCCACCTGGTCCACCCATACTAACAATGTAGTAGGTGTCCACCCACCTGGTCCACCCACACTAACAATGATGTAGGTGTCCACCCACCTGGTCCACCCACACTAACAATGATGTAGGTGTCCACCCACCTGGTCCACCCACACTAACAATGATGTAGGTGTCCACCCACCTGGTCCACCCCCTGGTCCACTAACAATGTAGTAGGTGTCCACCCACCTGGTCCACCCACACTAACAATGATGTAGGTGTGTCCACCACTAACAATGATGTAGGGTCCACCCACCTGGTCCACCCTAACAATGATGTAGGTGGTCCACCCACTAACAATGATGTAGGTGTCCACCCACCTGGTCCACCCACACTAACAATGATGTAGGTGTCCACCCACCTGGTCCACCCACTAACAATGATGTAGGTGTCCACCCACCTGGTCCACCACTACTAACAATGATGTAGGTGTCCACCCACCTGGTCCACCCACACTAACAATGATGTAGGTGTCCACCCACCTGGTCCACCAATACTAACAATGATGTAGGTGTCCACCCACCTGGTCCACCCCACTAACAATGATGTAGGTGTCCACCCACCTGGTCCACCCAACTAACAATGATAGTAGGTGTCCACCCACCTGGTCCACCCACACTAACAATGATGTAGGTGTCCACCCACCTGGTCCACCCATTACTCAACAATGATAGTAGGTGTCCACCCACCTGGTCCACCCACACTAACAATGATGTAGGTGTCCACCCACCTGGTCCACCCACCTGGTCCACCACCTGGTCCACCCACACTAACAATGATGTAGGTGTCCACCCACCTGGTCCACCCACCCACCCTAACAATGATGTAGGTGTCCACCCACCTGGTCCACCCACACTAACAATGATGTAGGTGTCCACCCACCTGGTCCACCCACACTATCAATGATGTAGGTGTCCACCCACCTGGTCCACCCACCAATGATGTAGGTGTCCACCCACACTAACAATGATGTAGGTGTCCACCCACCTGGTCCACCCACACTAACAATGTAGTAGGTGTCCACCCACCTGGTCCACCCACACTAACAATGATGTAGGTGTCCACCCACCTGGTCCACCACACTAACAATGATGTAGGTGTCCACCCACCTGGTCCACCCACACTATCAATGATGGTAACAATGGTGTGTCCACCCACCTGGTCCACCCACACTAACAATGATGTAGGTGTCCACCCACCTGGTCACTAACAATGATGTAGGTGTCCACCCACCTGGTCCACCCACACTAACAATGATGTAGGTGTCCACCCACCTGGTCCACCCACACTAACAATGATGTAGGTGTCCACCCACCTGGTCCACCCACACTAACAATGTAGTAGGTGTCCACCCACCTGGTCCACCCACACTATCAATGATGTAGGTGTCCACCCACCTGGTCCACCCACACTAACAATGATGTAGGTGTCCACCCACCTGGTCCACCCACACTAACAATGATGTAGGTGTCCACCCACCTGGTCCACCCACACTAACAATGATGTAGGTGTCCACCCACCTGGTCCACCCACACTAACAATGATGTAGGTGTCCACCCACCTGGTCCACCCACACTAACAATGATGTAGGTGTCCACCCACCTGGTCCACCCACACTAACAATGATGTAGGTGTCCACCCACCTGGTCCACCCACACTAACAATGATGTAGGTGTCCACCCACCTGGTCCACCCACACTATCAATGTATGTCCACCCAGGTGTCCACCCACCCACACTAACAATGATGTAGGTGTCCACCCACCTGGTCCACCCATACTATCAATGATGTAGGTGTCTACCCACCTGAGACTGTCGACGTAGTAGTTGTCATTCTCGCCTCTGTCTCCAGCAGCAACTGCACCGCCCGGTCTGTCTGCCCCAGCAGCATGTAGTTCTCGGCACACTTCTGGGTGTGCTCATACGTCGACCGCTTGCTGTCATGGAGGGACACACGGTCTAGCTGGTATTTCTGCAATACACCAGAAAATGCATCACCATATTGTTCCATAGAAATAACAACATACCTTTAACAAATTAATATTACATCCAAACTCAGTCATTCATCTCAATCAGACGGATATTGGAGAAAATATATAAATGACCTGGTTTTAAAGTTACATATGAACGTACTTCATTTTTAATGCCACATTCAACAATATTTCTAATTTATGACAGCAGCTGGCAAATAATTAAGTCTTGACCTTACAATCAAGTGATTAATAATATGAACAATGATCGAAGGTGTTGCCATATCAACCAGGTCACCAGACCAATCAGCTGCCTCTTACTACCAACATAGGATGCTGATGACCTATTCTTGCTGGCATCCCATGAGAACATATACAAATTTGTAAAATGTGGTTGATGTTAAGTAGTATCATGGGAAACATTGTGCAAACCCTTCTATATTTCATACATGGCCAGATGCCACGAATGAAGCCTAAACCAAGAATTGGTCTTCAGCAACCCATGCTTGTCGTAAGAGGCGACTCAAGGGATCGGGTGGTCAATGATCAAGATGCTGATCACTGGATTGTCTGATCCTGACCTGATTCTTTACAAACTGCCACCATATAGATGGAATAGTGTTGACCAACGAAACAAACAAATCATGCAGGGAAATCTCGCCTTAAAGTTCCTGTTGTCGACCATGGCATCATAACATCGCTCCAGTGGCTGGTCGCGGTAGAGGTTGGTGAGGATGCGTTGTCTCTCCACCTCCTCAGGGTTCTCCAGCAACACGAGGTCACTGGCCTCCTTGTACCCCGGGGTCTGTGGCACAAACAGGTCGGTCATGTCTGCCTGGGAGGTCACACGGCTTGGGGACTGTGAAATCAAAAGTGGAAAATAATTCTGATGCATACCCTTGTTTCCTCAAGAGGAAAACCAGATAAGATCATAAACAAATTCCATATTTTTAGGGGTATGTGGTTTTTTTCTCCAAGAATATACAGCTGTCTAGATCGGGGTCGTACTCAGAATTCCCGACATTACCTTGCTGGCTGGTTGGGCCTTCGTTGACCGGAGATAGTGAAGGGCCACAGTCCAGAAGTGGATTTCAGATTCATCACCAAACAATCTGTCAACACGACAAACAGTTATGGAGTGTAGGCGGTTAAAACTACTCCTGCTGCCTATGATTTGTTTTTGTTTGTATTGAGACCACCACCTCCTGTCTCCCATCATGAATTGTTCTGCTCATCCATTCTTACAAGTGAACAGTTGTTTGTTTATTGTTGAATGCCACACTCAGCAGTATTCAAGCTATATGATGGCAGTCTGTAAATAATCAGGTCTGGACCAGACAATCCAGTGATCAACAACCTGAGCACTGATCTCTGCCATTGGGATACAATGTGACACATTTAATGGACTACACTGTAAACAGTGAAAGCAATGGACAAACTGACAAAGTGCATAAAGAAGAAATACAACTTCCAGCAGTAATACTGAATACATTTTCCCTGGCATCTGTTTCTTTGGGGAATACAGTTTAAACAAAAGGTGACATATGTGACGGTTTGTTTGTTTTTGGTTGTTTAACGCTGCACTCAGCAATATTCCAGCTATATGGCGACGGTCTGCAAACAACCAGACCAGACAATCCAGTGATCAACAGCATGAGCACCGATCAACACCATTAGGATACGATAACATGTGGTAACCATGTCAGCAGGCATGACCACCTGATCCCATTAGTCACCTCTTACAACGAACAAGCATGGGTTACTGAAGACCAATTCTAACCCCGATCTTCACGAGTATGTATTTGATGGAGTTTACCTGGCAGTGAGGAGGCATCTCTGGGCTGTCCCGAACTGACAGTAGGGCAGATAGGCCAATAGGTCACTGAAACAAGAGTACATACATGCAGGAACACTCTGTGACATTGATCCAATAAACTTGATATCAAAATTCTATAAATATATGGCAGGAACAATCATTAAACTCAACACATGTACTGTAAATCAATAAAATAATGCGAGCTACTTATGAATGCGAAAAATGCGACTATATCTGAAGCGCATTAATAAATCTCGCATTATTATATTGTCTCTGGCACTCGATATCGTTATTACTAGTATGTGGGTCACGATAACCCAGTGAACAAAGACGAACGATAGATTCACAAAAATTCCTTTATTGACACAATAACATAGACATTATATTATATCAACAAGTTAAAGACATTCTGGAGAAGAAAAATTGAGCACTAATCATTTAAGTTATATTACAGTTTTTGAATAAACAGTCTAGTTTACATGGTTTGAACTCACTGGACCACGTCCAGCAGACATGCCATCTGCCATCCACGTAAGATTACCTCACGATTTCTGCCTACCTTTTTAATTGCATCCAGCGAGCATGAACAGGTTTCGTGACGCTAATCCTCAAATCAACAGGTTTGTCATGCGTCCTTTGTGTTGAGATTACAAACTGAGATCATCCTGTCTACTGTCAATTACTAGTACTAACAGTTGAAAGGAAAGCCGTCTTTGATCAAACAGCACCATGTGTTGGGAATTAAGATGTTTACACTAGAGTCGGATTAAATACTAGTATAGTATTTCCCAAAGTTGTGAGTGTAGTCATTAGTGAGTATAGTCATTCTGGTCAACCATTTCCTGAATTGCCTCCTCGCATTAATAAATACACGCATTTTGTTTTGAGGTTTGCACTTTCGCATTATTTAATACACGCATTAGTTTGTTGATTTACAGTATATGATGTCCAGATTATAGATCCCTGGGCACAAATGTTCCTAATAAGCCTACTCACCTGTCTATGAGCTGTATCTGTGAGTTGACTATCCTCTGGACCTCCAAGTCATCCTCCCTCATTCCCTCCAGACTGAGACTGAACTCCTCCGTCCAGGGCTGGTGCTGCAGCAGGCACTTCATCAGCTGCGACGACTTGGGCGGCAACAAGTGGGGACTAAACACTGGCTCTGCATCAAGTAGGGGTTCAGTGAGTGTCAGTGGATATGATGGAAATGATACAGCAAATGATTCAAGGGCTGGTATAACATCAACAACTGTAGTGGCTAGGCTGTGACAGGAAGGGTGATTTGGAGTTACCTCCCTTTGGTTGTTAACAAACAATCAAGCTTCATCATTCAAGAAGTTTATGGATTGTTTCTAGTTTCTGGCTATCACCATTGAGGAAGGGATATATATCTGAAAACACTGCATTCCTGTAAACTTCAAACACTATTTCCTATTCAAGAACAGTGACTGACAGTGAAACATTCAGGTACTGATGTGACATTTGTGAATGCACTATTACCGAGCCTGTAACATATTGATGCATTGACCATCAGCTTGTTTGTAAATATTAAATGGTGTCTTTTAATACAATTTCTAAAATACTCATTAATCATAAGTGGCTATTTACTGATTTCACAAATTTGTTCTGTACCTGGGTGAACTTTGTGTTTCAACTTGTCATCTTATAATGAAACATTTACACTTTTGTTTTTTAAAATACAAGAGTGATGAATTTGGACACTTTGTTTTTAAAATACAAGAGGTGATGAATTTGGACACTTTTGTTTTTAAAATACAAGAGTGATGAATTTGGACATAATTTCTGGGCAGATAACCATTTTTAAGGGGGTTACGAAGAGGGTCATGAAAACATTTTAGATCTATTTGGCGGCCAAGGAGGAGTTAATTTGAAATGGGGCAAAGGCTGTCAACAAAATCTGATAGTAAAAGAACCAATTTTCTCTTGTGGTCCTCCCCTCTTTGAAATGACCCCCTTTCGCCCCTACCTGCTAGGTCCCACTGGTCAATACTAGAGCTGGCTTTCTTCATGGTGATGTCAAAGATGTGGACACACCCACTGGCAGTGACCACCACCGGCCTGTCTGACCCCGCCCACTCCGCATCAACAACTTTAGCAATCTCCTTGGGACTCTTTATCGAATGCATGATTTCAGACTGAAACAAGACAGTTTTGTTTAATTAGTACCCATTGCAGGTCAAGGGGAGATAACTCTGCCCCGGTTTCCCACTGACTTTCATCAATACCAGTGAAAATCCAGGTTAGAATTTGTCTCCAGCAACCCATACTTGTCATGAGAGGCGACTAACAGGATCAGGTGGTCAGGCTCGAGACTGGGTTGACACATATACTAGCCACATAAAGAAACTGTGCATTGTAAAAATATTATCCCAGTTGATAAGTACAATATCAATGTCAAAGTTACATATAAACTTTAATGGAGGGATCATGAGACCATAACAAGTCGGGAGAATTTTAATTGAAAAGTCAATCACAATGACGTCACGAGTCCACAAGCGGGACAGGGGTCAAACGACCATGTCACAAGCTCAATAACAGGTATGTCCACCATCGGCATTGAGAACAGCAGTGCATCGACGACGATAGAGCCTATCAAACGCGGTAAGGAAGGCTTTTGGGATGTCACGCCAGATTCTCAAGTTCTGTTCTTTTGCAAGGTCATGCGACGCGATTCATGGATGAGGAAGACGTGTAGATGTCGATCCATCTCGGCCCCAAACATGCTCTATCGGGGGGAGATCCTCGTGAATTTGCAGGCCAAGGGAGTAAGTCATCATTGTGGTGTTGCAGAAATCCATAGCAACCCTTGCCGTGATGAGGGCGGCATCGGCCCTGTTGGAAAGTTAACCCAGGGCCATGACGCTGCAGAAAAGGAATTGCCACAGGTCGAAAGAATCTGATTAGTGTAGTCCACACCAGTTAAGCTGCTCTGAACAATCACCAAAGGAGTTCTTTTGTCGCGGCTGTTATTCCACCCCAATCATCATGGAACCACCACCAAAGCTGCATTCCCTCTCCAAGACACAGGCCTGTGCATAACGCTCTCCCATGGGTCTATAGGCACATTGACGCCCATCACTGGGAAATGTTAAACCTGGACTCAACTGTAAAACAACATTTCTCCACCAAAACAAGCGGTCTGGCGGATATGATTTCGGGCACCACATTCGGGCGAGCTTGTCGATGACGCTGTGTCAGGATAGGCCGCATGGCGGACGCCGTGGTCTGATCCCGTGATGACGTGAACGCTAGTCGAACTGTGTTGTGGGTGGGTACGCATGAAGTCCTGGGACGGTTCGGCAGTCATCACTGCAGTCTGAAACCTGTGCAAAACCGGATCTTCTTGATCCAACCTCGGCTGGATGGTGTGGTTCTGGATTCAACAGGGAAAAACGTAACAGATGTATGTACAGTTTAGCAGCCTGTGCGTGAAACAGGAATACTTTTCTAAGGTAACACTTCTGGAGATATAAATCATAGAGCTCGATAATCGCATTGACTGATTATCAATCAATTATCAATAAATATCAGAGAAGTAAGGAAAAATAGACAAAAAAAGTCTGAAAGAAATCTATATTTCACATAGTTTGTGGTGACATATTTAGGTTTGGATTACTAACAAAATGCTGTCCTGAACACGATTTATAACCAGCCCATGACAAAAAGACCTAACTTTGTGTATTGTTTGAGTAAATTAAAATGTTTCTTCATTACGATATTTTACAAACGATGTTACTGATGACACAATTTTCATATTCATAATCATTACTATTTTTCCCATCAACAATATTATTTTCAATTAGCGATCATTTCAGTCAGCCCTATCAATTGTCCAGGGTGTTATACATGCATTTCAGTTCTGTAATGACATACTTTCCGAATGATGTTTGGATACATGAAACATGGATCCCTGATATTTGTGCGGAACGTGACCTACCTGGATATTTTGGCCTTGAGGTCCCACAGACACTGAGTGCCATCGACGTCTCCAAACACCAGGAAGTCCCCCTTCCACGCCAGCGTTGTCACAGTGCTCAGGCCGCTCTGAAATGTCAGGCATCTATCTTTGAAGTATGGACGGAATACAAGTTACCTGCCACTACAATGAAAAACATCAAACAAACAACAATATTGGCACAACACAAAAATTAAAACAGAATTCATTTTGACTTTACTCAAGGTAAATGGCTAGGCAGGGTTTGGCTGGGTACAAATACATTATAACAGTCTTGTATACAACCACATACCTCTGGGGGTATCTTGGTGACGTCAGAGATGAGGCTCCCCTCTACTATGAAGTGGAAGACGGTGCCGTCCTTGTCTGTCATCACAAAGTGTTCCCTCACAGTCACTTTGCCCTGGCTTTTCTTTTCTCTGGCAAACATAGGGTGGCATGTGATATGAAAACTCGGCTACAGACATATTGGATATTTAGTGTTCTTACCTCTGTTAAAACCCAGCACAGCAGATATACAACATAACAACAGAGACAGGACTAGAACAACACAACAATGAAAGGAAAGGAAAAGCACAACAAACATAGGACTACACAACACAACAATGAAAGGAATGGAACAGCACAACAAACATAGGACTACACAACACAACAATGAAAGGAATGGAACAGCACAACAAACATAGGACTACACAACACAACAATGAAAGGAATGGAACAGCACAACAAACATAGGACTACACAACACAACAATGAAAGGAAAGGAACAGCACAACAAACATAAGACTACACAACAATGAAAGGAAAGGAACAGCACAACAATCATAGGACTACACAACACAACAATGAAAGGAAAGGAACAGCACAACACAACAATGAAAGGAATGGAACAGCACAACAAACATAGGACTACACAACACAACAATGAAAGGAAAGGAACAGCACAACAAACATAGGACTACACAACACAACAATGAAAGGAAAGGAACAGCACAACAAACATAGGACTACACAACAATGAAAGGAAAGGAACAGCACAACAATCATAGGACTACACAACACAACAATGAAAGGAAAGGAACAGCACAACAAACATAAGACTACACAACAATGAAAGGAAAGGAACAGCACAACAAACATAGGACTACACAACACAACAATGAAAGGAATGGAACAGCACAACAGAGATAGGATAGGACCGGCACATCACTATAGAAAGGAGACACAAAACAGACTAAAACAGCACACACAAGAACAGCAGCACATAACTAAAACAGCACAAACAGCACAACAGAGAGAGGCCTAGAACAGCCCAGAAAAGCCCAGAGACATAACTAAAACAGCACAACAGAGAAAGGGATGGACATAACTAAAACAGCAGAGAGAGGCCTAGCACAGCCCAGCAGAGACACAACTAAAACAGCACAACAGAGACAGGATAGACGCAACACACACACTAAAACAGCACAACAGAGAGGCACAACAGAGAAAGGCCTAGAACAGCCCAGCACAAACATAACTAAAACAGCACAACAGAGAAAGGCCTAGAACAGCCCAGCACAAACATAACTAAAACAGCACAACAGAGAGAGGCCTAGAACAGCCCAGCAGAGACATAACTAAAACAGCACAACAATGATAGGAAAGACACATGGAGCAATGATGTGACAGCTTGACTCACTTGGTACTGGTTGTGCTGTCTGACAGACTGGTCTGTGAGGATGTAGTTGTGGGCGGCGTCTCTCCCTCGGTAGACTTGATCATGGACGTCTTGTCCTCCTCCGCTCCCGAGTCCAGCAACTTCTTCTTCAGACTCTTCAGACTGTGGGAGGGGGACCACACCTGCAGCAAGGGGGAACATTTGACGTCAGACAGCTCCATACACACAACATCAACTCAAGAATCTTCTCAACACATACTGACTTTAAGGATAAAGTTGAGACATCTACAGGTAAATCCTAAACAATGTTGTACCCATTTTGTGATCTGTGATCTGTGGACCACTATTGCTATTTAGTATCAAGTTGTAAACATCTACAGTCTACATAACTTTAGACTCCACGATGATACAAAGCTATATGTTTAATTTGCCCAAAAGACTTTTTAGATACAGTGGTACTTGAGCATTAAATGCAAGAATATAAAACTTTTCTCTTTGATTCTGTTCACAATGAAATACAGTTCACATAAAGCATTATAATCATAAGCTGAAATTATAATTCCTGAATATTTTGGAAGTTTAGTTAAACAGTTTTGTCAAAGTTGAACAAACCTGCATAATTACTTCAAGATATCTGAGGTTCAACACAACCATAAAACGATGACTAATTGGGATTGCACAAGGACAGACACAAGTTCAACAACTGAAAGTTCGACACAATGGTGTCGCAGCAATTCTGACATGCAAATCGATCATCGAAAGGGGTGAAAGACTAACCAACCCAACACTGCCAATTTTGCCAACACTGTCTATGTTGGACATAGACCTAAGGCAGCCTGCATCCTCTAAGAATCTGATGAATGTTGGACTCAGTGCCTACTTACAGCAGCTGTGGGTCTGGGGAAGGCTTTGGGCAGCTCCCTGATGATGGTCAGTGTCCTCATGTCCCACAGCTCCAGCGGCTTGTCCTTGAAGGCCAGCACGAAGTACTGTCTGGAAGACACAAGTGGGAACAAAGATGTCGCTTCAGTGGAGTCACAGTTACAGAGCACTATAAAATCAGTACAATAGTACAGAGTTTTCAAAATCTCACATTTTTTATGATAGCTAGTAACATAACATTGGTTTTGGAAAACTGTAGATTCAAAGCTTTCCAACAAGACCAAATACATTTTGCTATACCTCCAGTAGACGTGTTTCAATTGTTCAGCGTTTAAGTTTCAATTGTTCAGTTTCAGTTGTTCAGCAAGTTTAAGCTATACCTCCGGTAGACATGTTTCAGTTGTTCAGCAATTTCAAGGAAAGAAAATAACAAACCTTCCTTCCCCCTTGTCAGTGAAACAGAGACAATAAAAACAATTACCTAGGTGCTATGCAGTTGCTTCCCTTAAAATGCACAAGGATCTTATCATGCAGAGAAATGGTGCCGCTAGTTCTCAAAAGTTCAGTTTCCTATCAGAGTGCTGTTTCCTAGCACTACTCAAGCATATGTTAAAGTATAGGAGTTATAATCATCTTACCGCTAAGATCACTTTGTGGAATTATAGAGTATAAACATATCTGCAGAGGGCTGGACACTAACCTGAGATGTGAGATCTGCAGCGACTCTATGCGGGACTCCTCATCTCGCTGTGTCCTAACCGATGTCACTTTACCTGCAGAAAAGTGCAGCTCTCGTCAACTCTCGTCTTTGTCAAGAAAACAATTATCTCACAGGTAAGACTTTGTCAGTTTGTTTGTATTTTGTTTGTTTTGTCACTAACATTATCAATTCAGCAATATTCAAGCTATGTGACAATTGCTTGTAAATAATCGAGTCAAGACCAAACAATCCAGTGATCAATATCATGAGCAATGATCCCCATAGTCAGGTATGATGACATGCAAGCAAGTCTGATCCCCTATCAATTTGGTCACATCTTATAATCAGCATTATATGAAAAAAGAACCCATTATAACCTATTCAGATAATTTTCTACAACAATTGAAAGTAATTCCTTAAAACATTAAATATTTCTATGAAAGGTCAACGTGATGACGCAGCAATACCCACCAGACAAGATGTCCACATAGAACACCTCATTCTTGACCAGTCCACTGGGGCCAGGGTTGGGGTAGGCGTAGGAGAGGAATGTCTTCAGGCCACACCACTCAATACCTCTGTGTCAAACACAAATACATTCATTATGGATGACAACTTCTCTATTATATTATGATGCGATGATTCGAAATAGATATTATACCGTTTTCAAACAAGACTGAAGTACTACAGCACAGAACAGACTTATATACAACAAACATGGATTGATTTAGTTTTACGCAGCACTCAGCAATAACATGGCAGTCTGTAAATAATGGAGTCTGGAACTGCCAATCCAGTTCAACAGCATCAATCTGTGCAATTGGGAACCGGATTAACAATAACAACAATTTCAATTACTTTTTGAAGCTAAACTTTTATCAAATAGGAAAACAAGTTTTATCATAGAAACTATAGAAAAGGTGTCATAAAGTCCAATGCTCCAGTCAATGTATAGAAACTATAGGTTGCAAAGTCCAATGCTCCAGTTAATGTATAAAAGGTTGCACCTATGTTATAATCTTATAATCTATAATCTATAATCACAGGTATAATATTGGACTGGTTGTTCTCTCATGAAGAGATTCAAGGGGTGCCATGATGTTACTTAATCTCATACTTAATCTGGATGGTTGCTATCTGAACTAAATGAACAATGTCATGTAAAGACTATCAGACCCACCTGACCATGGAGGAATGCAGGCTGTATTCTCGGTCCAGCTGCCCAGAAGCCACATTCACAATCTGGACAGCACCGGAGAAAGTACCTGAATGGATAATTGATTGTCTATGAAAGTAAAGTTCATTATCAATTAGACACGATGAAGAAGACTATATAAGTAATGTTCTCGAACTGATAAATGGTTCAAAGTGGAGTTTAACTCATCACCATATTAATCTGTCGTACCTAGAGCCAGCAGAGGTTCGTAGATGTTCCAGTTCTTGTTAGTGAGAGGAGGACACATTCTGATGGTGGTGACATGAGCGGCGATTCCGTTCAACAACCCAGTCAAGATGAACTTGAGTTGAACCGTGTGACCTTTGTTTGATCTCTGACCTTCACCCAAGGGCAGCTGGGACTGACCAATGAGATCAGTGAGAGCAGCCTTGGGGTATGCCAGGCTGGATATGATGGGGAAGTCCTGTTTGCGGGACGAGATCTGCTGGGCTGGGGACGGCAGAGTCAGACCAGGTGTGTACAGCGGGGAGGCCGTCTGAGGGTCAATCTCAATCTGGAACACAGGAAAAGATTTTGGTTTTTGTGAAAAGTATATAACATGCATTTCCTTCTATTTCAAAAGTGTCATACAATTAAGAAAATGTAAAAGATTTGAATGTTATCAAACTATTAACATATTAACGTTATTTATATGCTGTTTAACCTCACATAACAATATTCCAGATGGTGACTTGTAAAGATTGTGTGTCTGAGTGAGGTAACACTATCTTCCAAGTCAAAGCCCAACATCAAATCCTCAAGGGGGAAAAGAGTGGAGCGGAGAGGTGCAGAGTGGGAGAGAGAGGAGTGGTGGAGGAGGGAGGAGGAGAGGATAGCGGTGTTGAGTGGAGTAGAGAAGAGCATAGTGGAGAGAGGAGTGGAGAGATGGAGCCGGAGTGGAGAGGGGGAGTGGAGAGGAGTGGAAGCGGTGTTGAGTGGGAGCGGAGAGGAGAGGAGAGGTGTGGAGCAGAGCCGGAGTGGAGAGGAGAGGAGAGGAGCGTGGAGTAGAGAGGAGCAGAGCGGAGAGGAGTTGAGTGGAGAGGAGCGGAAAGGAGAGGAGAGCAGGGAGTGGAGTGAGTCGAGTGGAGTTCATCCTCGATAATCTCCAGGGTATACGCTACGATAACTCTCCACTATACCGTGGATGCATCCACGGCTTGGAGTGATGATTTTATTACCTCCCTTGGCTGGCTACGATTCTCACAGTAGGAGCCGCCATTACAGCCGAAGCTTGCCAGTGTCAACAAAGATAGCAGTCGAGTGCCACACAGATTTTTGAAAAGGAACTATATGAAAGAACTTCACTTCTTTCAGAGTACCTCTGCATCAATTGTGGAGTTAGATAATTTGAGTAGCGAAGTGAGTTGTGGATTGCACCTGAGATAAAAAGGCTAATGGACAATTTAGCAATATCATGACAAACGACACCAGAAAGTGGCTTCACACATTGTAACCACTGGGAATAAAACTGTTTGGCTTGACAAGCAAACACTTCCACCACTGGGCTACTCAAGTTCCCCTTGTTAGCAGTGTACACTGACCGGCATGTCCATGGTGTGGAGGTCCCACAAGATGACCCTGCTGTCACTCATGATGAGAGCCAGCGTCCGCTCCGAGGTGAGGGAGGAGGCTATACCATACACCCGGTTGTGTCGCGTCACTCGCAGCGGGTCGGACTGACAACGGAGGTCATACGCCACATCCAAGGATACATTAGGTGGAGTATCATCTGGAATAACAGTACACATACATCAGCAATCCAATACTGTACATTGTGAGTACTGGGATACTATAACTTGTTCATTGGTCACAAGGAGAACATGGGTTGATGTACCCTCGATGTTTGTTTATGTTACCTGAGCCCAAAGGGTGAGAGGAACATAAACTAACATCAAGGGTACAACCCATGGGCCCTGAGGGACCAATGAACAATGTGGTTATCTTACCAAACACCTCAATATTAAGTTTGAACTGTTTGAAGCACGGGTGTTGGATCATAATAAGGAGGACCGGAGTTAGGCAACAGCCCAAACTCTACTAACGCGAAGTACCAAATGAATTCCCACAGTTCGACATTTCCAGCAGGTAACACAGATTATGTTACTCACTTGTAAGTGGGGTACACGGATTTGTTCAGCCAATCAAAAAACGACATTTATGTGTGAGGTAAGATAAAAAGTAATAACTGGCTGTCTGAATCATTAAACTGCATGAGTGTAGACTGTTCCTACATACACTAATCAAAAGATGTTAAAGCATATCCAATACAATCCTGGACAAAACAATCCAGTGATCAACAGCATGAGCATCGATCTGCGCAATTGGGATACGATCACATGAGTAAACCAAGTCAGCGAGTCTGACCACCCGATCCCGTTAGTTGCCTCTTGTCACAAATATGGGTTGTTAAAGACCAATTCTAACCCGGATCTTCATGGGTTGGAAAATCCTTGTACATCTAGAGTTATCTATTAATGGCTCCCTGGCATAGTTTGATGCTGACTTACCAAATGCTCCAGATCCCTCGGATGCAGGCGCAGACATCAAGTTGGTCTTGCGGCGGACCCGCACCGATATACTGCCATTCTCGTGCAGACAGTAGAACACATCTCTCTGCCAGCAGGGGATAATCTGTAGAATAACAGAAGCCTTAAGTGCCATAATGGGTTAAATCTCTATCTCAAAAATGAACATAAACAGGCAGTTCTAAATGGAGATATTAATGGCACAATTCTGTGGATATTGTGGTTAAGGATCATAGTTACTGGCTCAAATGACCCTCCCACCAAAAACTGATTCTGACCTTTAATATCCACAAGATGGCAAGATTACACATGTATTGTAATTTTATTGTTGTGAAACAATACGTAATGGAATACAAGTAATCCTGACATTTCCCATGTTAAGAAGACATGGTGATAGGTTTCAAGTAAGGGAGACAACTCTGCATTGTTGATGACTACATTCATGAGACACTGCATAAAACACTATACTTCAACGCAAAGAAAAGAGTCTTCAAAGACTGAACACACCTGCCAATACATTGGCTTACCTGAGCAAAGGAGGAGGCTGCTTTGTCAAGGGAGATAATCCCCACAGTCTGGTTGATTTCAAGGTCAAGGATGAGGAGTTCTCTGGGGTAGAGGAGAAGAAGGTGGTGGCGACACGACTGATGGAAAGACAACTGGATGCACTCGTTTAGAGCAATGGTCTCTTCATCAGTCTGGTTTGACTTGCTGCAACACAATAAATGTTATCTTCACAAAAATTGTAATTTAGCTAAATTTGGTAACCTCTTCTGAATATCTTTCACTTAGAATATTTGAGCTTAACATCCATCCATCCACCCACCCAAACCATCCCTCCCTCCCTCCACCCATCCACCCATCCACCCACCATCCATCCTCCCTCTATCCATCCACCCACCCAAACCCATCCCTCCTCCATCCATCCACCCACCCAAACCATCCCTCCTCCTCCATCCACCCAAACCATCCCTCCCTCCATCCATCCATCCACCCAAACCATACCTCCCTCCATCCATCCATCCACCCAAACCACCCACCCAAACCATCCCTCCCCTCCATCCACCCACCCAAACCATCCCTCCTCCTCCATCTATCCACCCACCCAAACCATCCCTCCATCCCTCCACCCAAACCATCCCTCCCTCCTCTCCATCCACCCACCCAAAGGCCATCCCTCCCTCCCTCCATCCATCCACCCAAACCATCCCTCCCTCCATCCATCCACCCAAACCATCCCTCCCTCTATCCTTCCACCCACCCAAACCATCCCTCCCTCCCTCTATCCATCCACTCACCCAAACCATCCCATCCCTCCCTCTATCCATCCACCCACCCAAACCATCCTCCCTCCCTCCCTCCATCCATCACATGACAGTTAACTGACCTTGGTTTACTCTCGCCCACCAAGATCCTGGTCATCCTCTGTGCCAGATTCTTGGATGAAGACTTCCTCTCCAGACTGTTGGTGTTCCCGGCCTGGTTCACGGACGAATCTACACAACACAACCATCAGGTCAAACAATATACTTGATGTCATGTCAAGCTCCAGTCTGTGATAGACCTGACAACACTCACTTGTCATGATAGCTTCATTTGGCAATAACCCTTGAATTTGTCATGATATTCAACCCCAAGTCTGCATAAAATATTATAGTGAATATTTGCCAAATTACAGTATTATTAAAGTATGCCCTCCCTATTGCCACACACAATATTATCAATAATAAGAAGAAACTCTCATGATTGAGTAAAAACTAACTGGATATCACAGTAAAAAAATGGCAGCTTGATAAATACAATAATTCCAAATAAGAAATATCACAAAAGCCTCTGAAAAAGACAAAATTAGAAGTGATAACCTACAGCCTAAGGAAATAATCACTAAAGTACTGTCGGAAATGCTAGAAAAATGTTTTTTAGCCTTAATATCTTTATAAAAGTGATAAATGTACTATGTTGTCAATATATCAACTCATCTATTGTCTACCTAATTTTTATTTCAACCGATTTAACATTCCCATGCATTTAAAGGGCAGTTAACAGGAGGAATTTGGTACCAAAACAATAACTTAAGATTTTTCAGAGTTCAACAACAGAAATCTGAAATAGTCTTTACATTTATGCTAATAATACAGGTGGTGTAAAATATGAATTAACGTGTTTCTTAAACAAATAAATGTTGAATGTTTGTGTTACTTTACTTAATTATCGTTTCTTTATTGAAGAAATATAATATAAATGTTAAGTCTTGATAAATAAGTTTCCGTCATGCATGCACATCTTTATCACAACGTCCACTATGGCCAACTTGATTTGCAGTCGATTGTTGCAAAGGTTTATAGTTTTTCTGCTTAAAAGACAGAGGTAAACCTTTCATTAGTTTAGAAAGGGTTTATTACAGAACTTGCAGAGCTGTTGGCATGTCTTACCAACAAGTTTAAAATATTGTAAACAAATCATACAAGACAGGGACCGTCTCAAATGCAAAACCGGACGTAAAACCATCCTTGACAACTTTGACAAGGGAGTGCTAGACGGTGGGTCACAAACTTTATGAGAAGAAAATATATATATTCTAAAGAAGCTACACCAGTGACTTCTGTTAAATCTTTGGCCAATGTTCACAACTAGATTAAACTGTTCGAATTACATCCATATTTTGTCAATGAAATATACTGTTGACATGCAAAACATTTATTAAACGCGTTGCACATTTCTACCATCAATCGATAAGATAACACAAGTGATAGGATTCTGAAAGAATGTACAGTAACAATGATGGGTATTTCAAAACAAACACACATACACAAATGATCCCTTACATAACCGATCATGATGCTTTACGCGACATATTCAACATTTTGCAGAAAACATCTATTGAGATGACCTTAGCCGAGCTGTGCTCAGGTGTCAATTTCACCTGTCGATACGTGGATGCTGATGACGTAACACAGGCAGTTAATGTTTGTATCAAATAACGTCCCACTACCCCCTTATTTTTCTAAGTTTTTGGTATTTTCATCAGTAAAAACACATTTTAGAGCATGTCTCAAAATTTATTCCCTCGGTCTACATTAGGTAGATGTTTCTTGAAGTGATATTTGTTATTTAAGTAACTGTAATACCTCTGAATTTTAAATATAAGTCAAAAAGTATTTTTCTAGCATTTCCGACAGTACTTTAGTAAGACTTTATTGATGTCAACTTCATATCATGTGGAACACAATGTCTCGGAGTACTTGGAGTACATTCATCTCATATATACGCCGAAATGTTGTGCTGGTCTTAATAAGAAGTAGACATTCCTAGATTTTCCCTGTGAATACAGGACAAGACAAAAGTATCTGCCACTTATACTCCATGCTGATGTGGCAGGTCAAATCATGTGCTCACTGATGCTAAACTCCCGGACTTACTCTGACTAGACGGGCTGAATATGTAGAACTTTTTGCCATTGCTGGATGGGGTCTTGGTGATGGTGAAGTCATCAATGAACACAATGCAATCCTGACCCAAAACTGAAATAGGAAAATAGTATCTATGATCCTGACTTCTGTTATCCCCTTGAACACAATAATTTGATAACATTGTAGTGGTGTGACGATTCATCGATACGCATCGATCCATCGATACAAAGTTTTACATTGTTGTATATCAAAGGCTTATATTAAAGGTTTTAGTATCGTGAGCACGTATTGTATCGCCACCATTATATTGGGATTCATACCGTATTGCAGCTAAAGCACACAATACTTTGGCAATATATAGTCGCAACTAAAATTTTGTATCGTGATGTATCGTATCGCAGGTTGTATGCCATTACCGACACTTTAATATTAAAATATAATTTTCATGATAACAGTAAGTTGTTTGTTAGAATTGTAACACAATACTTAGAAATATTCCAGCTACATAATGACAACCTATACATAACCGAGTCTGGACCAGACAATCCTGTGACTGATATTATGAGCATCAATCAACACCATCAGGCCATCACCATCAGGCCACACCATCAGGCCATCACCATCAGGCCATCACCATCAGGCCATCACCATCAGGCCATCACCATCAGGCCATCACCATCAGGCCAACACCATCAGACCATCACCATCAGGCCATCACCATCAGGCCATCACCATCAGGCCACACCATCAGGCCACACCATCAGGCCACACCATCAGACCATCACGCCATCACCATCAGGCCACAACATCAGGCCATCACCATCAGGCCATCACCATCAGACCACACCATCAGGCCAACACCATCAGGCCATCACCATCAGACCACACCATCAGGCCATCACCATCAGACCACACCATCAGGCCATCACCATCAGGCCATCACCATCAGGCCACACCATCAGGCCATCACCATCAGGCCATCACCATCAGGCCAACACCATCAGGCCACCATCAGGCCATCACCATCAGGTTACACCATCAGGCCACACCATCAGGCCATCACTATCAGGCCCCACCATTGAACAAAAATTCAATGAAATTACAGATCCACAACACAACTACATTTCGAGATATTTTGACTTCTGACTCACATGCAACATTCTTGGAGTTGAAGGGATCGAAGGAGAAGGACAGCAGGTTCTCGGTGTAGGTCTTCTTCCAGAGTCTGGTGCCGGTGTCAGCGTTCCACAGAACCAGGGAGTATGGGGGATGTAGCGCCACCAGCAGGTCACGTGATGCATCCTGGTACCGCAGCCACTCCATGTCTGAAACAGTTGCCATGGTTACACATCATCTGGGCGAACCAATTGCTACCAATCAAAGTAAGGAGACAAACGTGTTAAGATGGAAGAATAGTGTTCAAATTGATACACCAACTTTCAAAAACATTATAGTCATTTACTTTGCATGATCTTTCTGTTATTTGTTTGGTTGTTGTGTAACACTGTACTCAGCAATATTACAGTGGCGGCGGTCTGTAAATAATCCAGTCTGGACCAAACAATCCAGTGATCGAATGCATGAGCATCGATCTACACAACTAGGATACAATGACATAATTCATGTGTCATGTGTCAACCAAGTCAGCAAGCCTGACCATCTGAATCAATTAATCGCCTCTTACGACAGGCATGAATTTCTGATGACCAGTTCTAACCCAGATCTTCACATGAAGATCATTATCAGATCAGACATGCTACACATAACACAGCATCTTCCCCTCAAACCTACACCACAGTGCGTGTGTGAGTGTGTTTAGTTTTACGCCGCACTCAGCAATATTCCAGCGATATGGCGGCAGCCTGTAAATAATCGAGTCTGGACCAGACAATCCAGTGATCAACAGCATGAGCATCGATCTGCGCCAACCAAGTCTGTGTCAACCAAGCCCTACACCACAGAATGAAGCAGTGTTTATTATGATTATACACAAGAATATACTAATAGAACACATATTCTGAGGTGCCCAAAACCTGCTGAAACAAGGGCGCATACTAACATCACAATGAAAGAAGTCTTCAACAACACCAACGGATCATGGGAGAGTTTGCTGAACATTATTAAAGATGGAGGGGAGATGATTCATGCAAGGGCCACAGCTGCCTGATGTATGTCGCCACACCAGTAACCAGTAATATGCTCAAGTCACATTACCATGAGTAATGGTAATATACTCAAGTCACATTACCATGAGTAATGGTAATATACTCAAGTCACATTACCATGAGTAATGGTAATATCCTCAAGTCACATTACCATGAGTAATGGTAATATACTCAAGTCACATTACCATGAGTATACACAAGTATATACTCAAGTCACATTACCATGAGTATACACAAGTACATACTCAAGTCACATTACCATGAGTAATGGTAATATGCTCAAGTCACATTACCATGAGTAATGGTAATATACTCAAATCACATTACCATGAGTATACACAAGTATATACTCAAGTCACATTACCATGAGTATACACAAGTACATACTCAAGTCACATTACCATGAGTATACACAAGTATATACTCAAGTCACATTACCATGAGTAATGGTAGTACATACTCAAGTCACATTACCATGAGTATGGTAATATCCTCTCAAGTCACATTACCATGTATAATGGTAATATACTCAAGTCACATTACCATGAGTATATGGTAGTATATCCTCAAGTCACATTACCATGAGTAATGGTAAGTATATACTCAAGTCACATTACCATGAGTATACACAAGTAATATACTCAAGTCACATTACCATGAGTATACATGGTAATATACTCAAGTCACATTACCATGAGTATACACTAGTATATACTCAATGGTAATATCCAGTCACATTACCATGAGTATACACAAGTATATACTCAAGTCACATTACCATGAGTATACACAAGTATATACTCAAGTCACATTACCATGAGTATATGGTAGTATATACTCAAGTCACATTACCATGAGTATACACAAGTATATACTCAAGTCACATTACCATGAGTATACACTAGTATATACTCAAGTCACATTACCATGAGTATACACAAGTACATACTCAAGTCACATTACCATGAGTATACACTAGTATATACTCAAGTCACATTACCATGAGTATACACAAGTATATACTCAAGTCACATTACCATGAGTATACACAAGTATATACTCAAGTCACATTACCATGAGTATACACAAGTACATACTCAAGTCACATTACCATGAGTATACACTAGTATATACTCAAGTCACATTACCATGAGTATACACAAGTATATACTCAAGTCACATTACCATGAGTATACACAAGTATATACTCAAGTCACATTACCATGAGTATACACAAGTATATACTCAAGTCACATTACCATGAGTATACACAAGTATATACTCAAGTCACATTACCATGAGTATACACAAGTACATACTCAAGTCACATTACCATGAGTATACACAAGTATATACTCAAGTCACATTACCATGAGTATACACAAGTATATACTCAAGTCACATTACCATGAGTATACACAAGTATATACTCAAGTCACATTACCATGAGTATACACTAGTATATACTCAAGTCACATTACCATGAGTATACCATGTCACATTACCATATACACTAGTATATACTCAAGTCACATTACCATGAGTATACACATAGTATATACTCAAGTCACATTACCATGAGTATACACAAGTATATACTCAAGTCACATTACCATGAGTATACACAAGTATATACTCAAGTCACATTACCATGAGTATACACTAGTATATACTCAAGTCACATTACCATGAGTATACACTAGTATATACTCAAGTCACATTACCATGAGTATACACTGGTATATACTCAAGTCACATTACCATGAGTATACACTAGTACATACTCAAGTCACATTACCATGAGTATACACTAGTATATACTCAAGTCACATTACCATGAGTATACACATAGTATGAGGTATACTCAAGTCACATTACCATGAGTATACACAAGTATATACTCAAGTCACATTACCATGAGTATACACAAGTATATACTCAAGTCACATTACCATGAGTATACACTAGTATATACTCAAGTCACATTACCATGAGTATACACTAGTACATACTCAAGTCACATTACCATGAGTATACACTAGTATATACTCAAGTCACATTACCATGAGTATACACTAGTATATACTCAAGTCACATTACCATGAGTATCAAGTACTCAGTTACATTACCATGAGTATACACTAGTATATACTCAAGTCACATTACCATGAGTATACACAAGTATATACTCAAGTCACATTACCATGAGTATACACTAGTATATACTCAAGTCACACTACCATGAGTATACACAAGTACATACTCAAGTCACATTACCATGAGTATACACTAGTATATACTCAAGTCACATTACCATGAGTATACACTAGTATATACTCAAGTCACATTACCATGAGTATACACAAGTATAGTATATACTCAAGTCACATTACCATGAGTATACACTAGTATATACTCAAGTCACATTACCATGAGTATACACAAGTATATACTCAAGTCACATTACCATGAGTATACACAAGTACATACTCAAGTCACATTACCATGAGTATACACAAGTATATACTCAAGTCACATTACCATGAGTATACACTGGTAATATATACTCAAGTCACATTACCATGAGTATACACAAGTATATACTCAAGTCACATTACCATGAGTATACACTAGTACATACTCAAGTCACATTACCATGAGTATACACAAGTATATACTCAAGTCACACTACCATGAGTATACACTAGTATATACTCAAGTCACATTACCATGATGTATACAGTAGTATATACTCAAGTCACACTACCATGAGTATACACAAGTATATACTCAAGTCACATTACCATGAGTATACACAAGTATATACTCAAGTCACACTACCATGAGTATACACAAGTATATACTCAAGTCACATTACCATGAGTATACACAAGTATATACTCAAGTCACATTACCATGAGTATACACATAAGTACATACTCAAGTCACAGTACCATATACAAGTCAAGTCACATTACCATGAGTATACACAAGTACTCTCAATCACACTCACCAGGTATACACAAGTATATACTCAAGTCACATTACCATGAGTATACACTAGTATATACTCAAGTCACATTACCATGAGTATACACAAGTATATACTCAAGTCACATTACCATGAGTATACACAAGTATATACTCAAGTCACATTACCATGAGTATACACAAGTACATACTCAAGTCACATTACCATGAGTATACACAAGTACATACTCAAGTCACATTACCATGAGTATACACAAGTACATACTCAAGTCACATTACCATGAGTATACACAAGTATATACTCAAGTCACATTACCATGAGTATACACAGTATATACTCAAGTCACATTACCATGAGTATACACAAGTACATACTCAAGTCACATTACCATGAGTATACACAAGTATATACTCAAGTCACATTACCATGAGTATACACAAGTATATACTCAAGTCACATTACCATGAGTATACACAAGTATATACTCAAGTCACATTACCATGAGTATACACAAGTATATACTCAAGTCACATTACCATGAGTATACACAAGTACATACTCAAGTCACATTACCATGAGTATACACAAGTATATACTCAAGTCACATTACCATGAGTATACACTAGTATATACTCAAGTCACATTACCATGAGTATACACAAGTATATACTCAAGTCACATTACCATGTATACAGTATACACAAGTACATACCTACACAAGTATATACTCAAGTCACATTACCATGAGTATACACTAGTATATACTCAAGTCACATTACCATGAGTATACACAAGTACATACTCAAGTCACATTACCATGAGTATACACAAGTACATACTCAAGTCACATTACCATGAGTATACACTAGTATATACTCAAGTCACATTACCATGAGTATACACAAGTATATACTCAAGTCACATTACCATGAGTATACACAAGTATATACTCAAGTCACACTACCATGAGTATACACAGAGTATATACTCAAGTCACATTACCATGAGTATACACAAGTATATACTCAAGTCACATTACCATGAGTATACACAAGTATATACTCAAGTCACATTACCATGAGTATACACAAGTACATACTCAAGTCACATTACCATGAGTATACACAAGTATATACTCAAGTCACATTACCATGAGTATACACAAGTATATACTCAAGTCACATTACCATGAGTATACACTAAGTATATACTCAAGTCAGTCATTACCATGAGTATACACAAGTATATACTCAAGTCACATTACCATGAGTATACACAAGTATATACTCAAGTCACATTACCATGAGTATACACAAGTACATACTCAAGTCACATTACCATGAGTATACACAAGTATATACTCAAGTCACATTACCATGAGTATACACAAGTACATACTCAAGTCACATTACCATGACCATGAGTATACACAAGTACATACTCAAGTCACACATTACCATGAGTATACACAAGTATATACTCAAGTCACATTACCATGAGTATACACAAGTACATACTCAAGTCACATTACCATGAGTATACACAAGTACATACTCAAGTCACATTACCATGAGTATACACTAGTATATACTCAAGTCACATTACCATGAGTATGCACACAAGTACATACTCAAGTCACATTACCATGAGTATACACAGTATATACTCAAGTCACATTACCATGAGTATACACTAGTATATACTCAAGTCACATTACCATGAGTATACACAAGTATATACTCAAGTCACATTACCATGAGTACACACTAGTACATACTCAAGTCACATTACCATGAGTATACACAAGTATATACTCAAGTCACATTACCATGAGTATACACACAAGTATATACTCAAGTCATTACCATGAGTACCATGAGTATACACTCAAGTCAGTATGAGTATACTCAAGTCACATTACCATGAGTATACACAAGTACATACTCAAGTCACATTACCATGAGTATACACAAGTATATACTCAAGTCACATTACCATGAGTATACACAAGTACATACTCAAGTCACATTACCATGAGTATACACAAGTACATACTCAAGTCACATTACCATGAGTATACACAAGTATATACTCAAGTCACATTACCATGAGTATACACAAGTATATACTCAAGTCACATTACCATGAGTATACACAAGTACATACTCAAGTCACACTACCATGAGTATACACAAGTATATACTCAAGTCACATTACCATGAGTATACACAAGTACATACTCAAGTCACATTACCATGAGTATACACAAGTACATACTCAAGTCACATTACCATGAGTATACACTAGTACATACTCAAGTCACATTACCATGAGTATACACAAGTATATACTCAAGTCACATTACCATGAGTATACACAAGTACATACTCAAGTCACATTACCATGAGTATACACAAGTATATACTCAAGTCACATTACCATGAGTATACACAAGTACATACTCAAGTCACATTACCATGAGTATACACAAGTATATACTCAAGTCACATTACCATGAGTATACACAAGTATATACTCAAGTCACATTACCATGAGTATACACAAGTCACATTACCATGAGTATATACTCAAGTCACATTACCATGAGTATACACAGAGTATATACTCAAGTCACATTACCATGAGTATACACAAGTATATACTCAAGTCACATTACCATGAGTATACACAAGTACATACTCAAGTCACATTACCATGAGTATACACTAGTATATACTCAAGTCACATTACCATGAGTATACACTAGTATATACTCAAGTCACATTACCATGAGTATACATACAAGTACATACTCAAGTCACATTACCATGAGTATACACAAGTATATACTCAAGTCACATTACCATGAGTATACACAAGTATATACTCAAGTCACATTACCATGAGTATACACAAGTATATACTCAAGTCACATTACCATGAGTATACACTAGTATATACTCAAGTCACATTACCAGTATGAGTATACACATGAGTATATACTCAAGTCACATTACCATGAGTATACACTAGTATATACTCAAGTCACATTACCATGAGTATACACTATAAGTACATACTCAAGTCACATTACCATGAGTATACACAAGTATATACTCAAGTCACATTACCATGAGTATACACAAGTATATACTCAAGTCACATTACCATGAGTATACACAAGTATATACTCAAGTCACATTACCATGAGTATACACAAGTATATACTCAAGTCACAGTCACCATGAGTATACCATGAGTATACCATGAGTACATACTCAAGTCACATTACCATGAGTATACACAAGTATATACTCAAGTCACATTACCATGAGTATACACTAGTATATACTCAAGTCACATTACCATGAGTATACACAAGTATATACTCAAGTCACATTACCATGAGTATACACAAGTATATACTCAAGTCACACTACCATGAGTATACACAAGTACATACTCAAGTCACATTACCATGAGTATACACAAGTATATACTCAAGTCACATTACCATGAGTATACACAAGTATATACTCAAGTCACACTACCATGAGTATACACAAGTACATACTCAAGTCACATTACCATGAGTATACACTAGTACATACTCAAGTCACATTACCATGAGTATACACTAGTATATACTCAAGTCACATTACCATGAGTATACACAAGTACATACTCAAGTCACATTACCATGAGTATACACAAGTATATACTCAAGTCACATTACCATGAGTATACACTAGTATATACTCAAGTCACATTACCATGAGTATACACAAGTATATACTCAAGTCACATTACCATGAGTATACACAAGTACATACTCAAGTCACATTACCATGAGTATACACTAGTATATACTCAAGTCACATTACCATGAGTATACACTAGTATATACTCAAGTCACATTACCATGAGTATACACAAGTATATACTCAAGTCACATTACCATGAGTATACACAAGTACATACTCAAGTCACATTACCATGAGTATACACTAGTATATACTCAAGTCACATTACCATGAGTATACACAAGTATATACTCAAGTCACATTACCATGAGTATACACAAGTATATACTCAAGTCACATTACCATGAGTATACACAAGTATATACTCAAGTCACATTACCATGAGTATATACACAAGTATATACTCAAGTCACATTACCATGAGTATACACAAGTATATACTCAAGTCACATTACCATGAGTATACACTAGTACATACTCAAGTCACATTACCATGAGTATACACAAGTATATACTCAAGTCACATTACCATGAGTATACACAAGTATATACTCAAGTCACATTACCATGAGTATACACTAGTATATACTCAAGTCACATTACCATGAGTATACACAAGTACATACTCAAGTCACATTACCATGAGTATACACAAGTATATACTCAAGTCACATTACCATGAGTATACACTGAGTACATACTCAAGTCACATTACCATGAGTATACACTAGTACATACTCAAGTCACATTACCATGAGTATACACAAGTATATACTCAAGTCACATTACCATGAGTATACACATTACCATGAGTATATACTCAAGTCACATTACCATGAGTATACACAAGTATATACTCAAGTCACATTACCATGAGTATACACTAGTATATACTCAAGTCACATTACCATGAGTATACACAAGTATATACTCAAGTCACATTACCATGAGTATACACAAGTACATACTCAAGTCACATTACCATGAGTATACACTCAAGTAGTATACCATGAGTATACACTAGTATATACCATGAGTCACATTACCATGGTATACACTAGTATATACTCAAGTCACATTACCATGAGTATAGTATACAAGTACATACATGAGTATACACAAGTACATACTCAAGTCACATTACCATGAGTATACACTAGTATATACTCAAGTCACATTACCATGAGTATACACTAGTACATACTCAAGTCACATTACCATGAGTATACACTAGTACATACTCAAGTCACACTACCATGAGTATACACAAGTACATACTCAAGTCACATTACCATGTAGTATACACATGAGTATATACTCAAGTCACATTACCATGAGTATACACTAGTACATACTCAAGTCACATTACCATGAGTATACACTAGTATATACTCAAGTCACATTACCATGAGTATACACTAGTATATACTCAAGTCACATTACCATGAGTATACACTAGTATATACTCAAGTCACATTACCATGAGTATACACAAGTACATACTCAAGTCACATTACCATGAGTATACACAAGTACATACTCAATGCAGGTCACAACGTTTACTGGGGTTCCTCAAACTCACCTTGTACCGGCTTGTTGCCCTCGGAAAACTCCACCTTGGCCTGTCCCTGCGCAACATCCCACACGATGATGACCCCGGCAGCATCCGCAGACACCAGGCGCAGCGTGTACGGGCTGTTGAGGTCATGGTGGTAGTTCTCCTTCCCCCACTTCACCTGCACACATGTAACAGATTCAGTCATTTAACAGTTACACAGCCCTATACACATGCATTCTTTTAAAAGATTCAGCCATCATCCATATAAGGAATGTTTCATGATTGTCCATCCCAACAAGACTAAGATGTATATGTGAGTGGCACAGATCAGCTCGTGGTTAGAATTGGACACTGCTAAATAATTTATGGCCGACATTGTCCTTAATTATTGGGACTATATTTTTCGTAACAAACTACTATTTTCTTCCATTACTCCTGCATTTTCCTTCATGTAAGTTTGGTTAAATCATGTTGATATTTATCATATTTGGCAAAGTTAAGAATAATACTTTACAAGGGTGTGAAGACTGACTTTTGATTAGTGTCTCCGTAAAAAATATTTCACATAACATAGAGCCAATATAATGTGGGAGAATATGCAAAGGTTGACATATACCACTCAGTAATATCTACAAGCAGAGGTTCTAAGGGAAGCAACTCTTGTTGACATACTGAGTTTGGTTGACATACCCGTATCATAACACAACTAAGGGAAGCAACTCTTCACAGCAATTAGAACACTGGGCCACCTGTTCCAGGTCATTGAAGACAAGTACTTCTTCCAATTCATATTTAACATTTTAAGCTCATCAATGTGTAATAATCCTCTGTGAATAACAAATCTATTGAAGGGGAAATTTCTTTATATCTTCATTAAAACACAGAAAGTCTTCAAGACAATGCTTCTACTCACTTTCACAACATTGGCCTTGTGTTTCTCTAGCACTTGAATAACCTGCAAATAGACATAATAGGAGATAAACCTGTTCACAATCATACAGATCATCACTGGAATGTGATATGATAACACCTCATTCATCACATCCTTAATTTTAAGCATGTCAAGTATTTGCTTCTAAAAATTCAATTTTAACATGTTCTTGTTCTCAAATTTGAATTGGAAAGATTTTTGTTATATCAATAAAACACTTGTCCTTAAGGCAGCGATCAAGTCGAGACACTGAGCTGTGTAGCATCTTAACCATTGAAATTGAAAAAGTGATAAACATGCCAAAAGCACTTACTCCTGCTGATGCTATATAGAGGGGTAAACACAGCAACAATCATCAGGTCATGACAATACAAAATCAAGTCACCAGACTTGTCAACCCAATACATTCACCTCATACGACCATTACAGGATTCTGGGGGCCTAATCTAACCCAGAATCCCTTTAAACATGTTGAAGACCCTGTAAGACATACCTGAACTGTCCCTGGGTCCACCACAGTCACAAAGTTGTGGCAACCATAAGCAAGCTTCCCTTGCCAGCCCCTGAAACACACAACCATCATCATCATCATCATCATCATCATCACATAATCGACATAATAATTTTGTTTAAACTGGTAGTTCAAACCATCGTTTCAAATGTGAACATCAGCATTATCATTATGTATATGACATAATAATTCTGTATAAACTGGTGACCACAAATCTCTGTCATCAACATGACCAAGAAGTGTTTTTCGTGCTGCAATGCAATATACCTGACACCTCCCACCACTGTGATTGGATGCATGTTATGAAGTAATACGTCTCTACTTAATATGTTATCCTGGTTTAAAAGATAATAAGTATAATATGCCTCATGGGTCCATTGAAAGGTGAAAAACATGACTGTTAAAACATGTAGAAGGACATAGAGCCTCCTGATATTACTCCTGAGAGGAAATATGCCAAACACCGGATATATCATAGATCTACTTGCTTCGTGGAGGAAAAGGCGAAATATTCATACTTTTAAAAATATATTCGATAATGTAAGAGCTGCCAATTACATAAATGACATAAGTACTGCAAAACAAAACAAAATAGTGATAGATGGTCTGTTTACTGTTTTTACGACTATTTTGTAATGTAAACAAGATGTAGTTTGAAGACAGATAACGTCATAATCAGTGTTCAAAACTCACCAGTCACATGCGTTTTTGTTTTGAGCATGCAAGGCCCCTGTGATTATTTTCGGGAACAGTTTCATTTTGCACACACAAGGTCAGTAATGAAACTGTCACGGCTGTTTTTTGACAGATTCAGAATACACCCCAATCGTCACGACGCCATATTGGAATAAAATCCGGACACTTCCGGGAAATGGTATAGTGGGTTGGTTAATAATCAATCAACACTAAAACGGATTATGAAAATGCCATTAATTGCCACACGAATTTTGTTTTGGTTATGTTCTTAGTGTTTATTTGGTGATACGGACGTGTGTATTGTTAATACAAAACTTAGTAAACATTTTATTCTATGTAAACAACAACTCAGAATTCAGTTTCGATCACCATCAAGTAAAGAAGAGTGAGTTTAGTTTTACGCCGCTTTTAGCACTATTCAAGCAATATCACGGCGGGGGACACCAAACATGGGCTTGACACATTGTACCAACAGTGTGCTCATCGAACATCGGCGTCACGAGCGAACGCTTTAAAAAATAACCTTTATATAGAACTCTCCCCGTTGTTCATCACAGCCAATAGCAGCCATTGCAATGAAGAAGTAGCAATCATATAACCTCATTTTGTACAGACGTGGAAATAGCAGGTTCCATGCTGTTAACCAGAGTTTCGGCTTGTTTAACCACACGGGCAACACCCAACACATTATCTTGAATAGTTTATAAACTAAAATTGTTTATAAATAACAAAAATAAAGAAAAAATGACGTGGTCTGTGAAATATTTATTTTAAACCATCATACTTCAACTGCATATGAGTTTTCGTTTGGAGAGTTTGAAATGTATTGTGAATTTTGTAGGCGTCTATCCAGGAAGCATGACAGTATACTTGTATAATTGTAATAAAGTTCTTGTAGTTTTTGTATGATTGTAAGAAAGTATTCCAGCAGTGCAGGCTTTTCGGATTTTCTCATTGGTGGATGGTATGATGACTAAAGTAAGGCCAGAAATGATTGGAAAATGCTTTTTGGCTTCAATATCAATATGATGAATTTGACACAAGATAAAAGCACATATATGATACATGTACGACTCTACCTAGTTGGATATTAAAGCTCAGATGAAAAAATGCACTTGATGGGTGACTTCACAGGAGGAAATTTTGACGTTTTAACAACATTTGTAAATATTCTAAGTACAAACTGTAGTTTTGAAATACAGACTATAATTATTCATATAGCCTCAACTAATTAAATTACATAAATGATTGAACAATATATTTTTTTAACATCTATGTGTGAAAAAAATGGAACTCTTGTAGTAGTTATATTCAAAATAATTACGTAGAAAAGTCTTAATTCAAATCGGATAGATAATCTTGTTCACCCATAGAAGTTTCACTTCGTGTATGAGCATTGAACTGGCAACATGCGACTTGATATCTCTGCAAAACAATTAATTTCAAATTTATACCAGTATTTCATACTGGAGAAACAAAGGGGAAACCTCTTGTCAGCTATGACAGGGTTTACTAGAGCTGAAGGGGTCGTTGTCGGCACGGGTACAACAGATATGTACCCTAGGTACGTTTCTGTATATAGAAACGTACCTTGGCCATAATGAGAATACAGAAACGTACCTTAGGACGATTCCATTCCCATTGTGTCGTATTCTTGACCGGAACTGTCATACTGTTGTATTAGATACATTTGATTGCGTTATGTAAGTAATGAGAATACACAGTAACGGATATATCGCGATGCATATGAATACCACTCGGAATCAGTTGAACGGGAACAACTACATACGGTTTCGGTTTTGGACTGCGGAATATGGATTCGTCCGCCTTTTAGGGTACCGGGTACGTTTCTGTATTTTGACTTTGTTTAGGGTACATATCTGTATACAGAAACGTACCTGGGGTACGTATCTGTAGTACCTGTGCCGACAACTACCCCTTCAGCTTTACTATAGAATGTGTAAATCCCTTAATTTGACATATAGTCAGGTTTACAAAGTTGTAAACAAATCAGTTGCCTCAGGGGGTCGTGTCAAAATCAAAACCAGGTAGGAAACACAAACTGGATAGCTTTGATAAGGGTGTCATACGCCGTTCATATAAACTGTATGAACGCAAAATCCCACCGATGTGTTCTAAAATACAAGATGAGATCAAAGATACAATATATGTCTCGAAAACAACACTTATTGTAGCTCTGGAAGAAATGGGGTTCAGGTACACCAAAAGAGGAGATGACAGAGCTGTGTTTAGAGAAAAGTACTTAATCCTGTCCATGCGATCAGCTAATCTCAGAACAGTTGAAGAATACCGCAATTTGGGGTTTCAAATCATGAACCTTGATGAAACCCGGTGTAATAAAAATCACTCAACCGATCGGATGTGGCTTCCTACAGATTGTTCTAAGGCACCAGTGTTACCATCAGGCAAAGGTAGGCGCCTGATCATCTTGCATGCTGGTACCCTTAGCAAGGGACTGATTGGGGGTTGTGATTTTGTTTTTGAGGCCAAGAAATCTGATGGTGATTACCATAACGAAATGAATGGGCAGGTATTTTTGGATTGGTTCGAACATCAGCTTTTACCGCATCTGGACGAACCAAGCGTTATCATATTGGATAACGCCAGTTACCATAACCTGCGTGTCCCTGGTACCATCATACCCACCATGAGCAATCTCAAGGCTCAGTTGCAGGATTTTCTCACTTCCTGTAACGTGCCTTACAGGCAATCAGAAACAAAGCCCCAGCTTATGCAAAAAAATCCGGCAGCACAAAAAGCCAATCCAGTACATCACTGACGAACTAGCTGCAAAACAAGGCCACATAGTTCTGCGTACACCAGTACGGCACTGTGAGCTCAACCCCATCGAGCTGATCTGGGGTAACTGTAAGACTGACTGAGTTTAGTTTTACGCCGCTTTTAGCAATATTCCAGCAATATCACGGCGGGGGGACACCAGAAATGGGCTTAACACATTGTGCCCATGTGGGGAATCGAACCCGGATCCTCGGCGTGACGAGCCAACGCTTTAACCACTAGGCTACCCCCACCGCCCCAGTAACTGTAAGAAGTTTATTGCTGCAATAATACCACATTCACGCTTTCAGACGTTAAAGAGCTTGTGTATGCTTCTTTTGCTATAATTACCGCCAGAAGTGTGGCAAAAGGCTGAAAGACCGTGTTCTCGAAATCGAGGACGAATACCGTCTGCGGGACGGCGTTAACGTCAGCCGAGTTGCACCTGTTGTAATTCCGCTCGAGTCCTCCATATACTTGATATTTTGAGACAATCCCTGACATGTACTGCCCGTGCGCTGCATAACGCTGTCACCATGTCTGCCTGCCAGCTGGGTCACAGTATAGCTTGTTTCTTTGAAGTGTTTAATTTCTACCATGGAATTTTTTCTCTGTTTTTCGATATTTTACGAGTAATCATTATGATTAGGGAATGGTACATCGTGATTACTCATATGCCATATTAGGTCGAGGTGGTATTGAATGATTATATATGAGTTTTGAATCTGAAATATCAACCATTATTGCCAAAAAGCATTTTCCAAGCATTTCTGGCCTTACTTTAATCAATTTTATCCTATTTGTGTATTTTTTTACTTCGAAATCTAACTGTCACGTAACAATGTGATGTCTATTGACCTATGGTATTAAAAACACACATTTGATTTATTTGAATCTGTAAACTAAATCAATCCCACTGTGCCATTGCTAGACAAAATCTGATTTCATCTTCTTTATTCTTTCAATGCGACGTATTCCACAACTGACCGAGTATAACGAACTCAAAGTGACCGCTCGTTTTAGTTTTTATAATCTGAAAATAACAGTAAGTGGCCTGGATACACACAGAATTGAAAGAGGAAAAACTGTGTGTATTTCATCAGGGTGTGTCAACTTTATGTGGAAAGCATGCCCAAAGGGTTTAAACGATATTTGTCTCGTTTGTATATTTGTTGTTTAACGCCTTAACGCCACGCCCCGCTATATGTCTGTAAATCAAGTGATTGACATCATGAGCATCAATCTACACAAGTGGAATACGATCACATTTGTCAACCATTCCACGTTCTTGACCACCCGACCACGTCAGTCTCCACAAGCATTCTAACACGGATCTTCACGGGAGGTCTAGACGTTAAAATGGCGAATCCCACGAGCACGTCTTTAATCCTGATTAAACACGGTCACACTGAAGCGCACTTGATAAAATATAAATTGCAGAAAAAAGTAACTCTTTGTCAATATATACACTTAATTTTTAATTTACGATTGAAAAAATGGGATATAGTGCATCACCGCTTGGTGCTCCGGTGGAAGATGCTAACCATTTCTTCTTAAAATGTCCAAAATTTGTCATTTGCTGTTTTGATCGGAAGAAAGACTTTGAACTATCAAAAGTTCAGTTAGACATTGATACCATTCTTTACGGCAACCTTGCTCTGCCAAATACTATCAATGAAAATATCTTTAGACATGTGCATAAATACATTGTACGAAGTAAGCGCTTCAATTAATTAATAATATGTCTCAATATTATTATGTCCATCCATTACGTCCAATCATTATTGTTCATTATTGTTCATGTTTCTGATGGGAGCGGGCGGTAATAAGTTACATAACTTGTGCCCAATCCATTTCAACACTGAATAAAATATGTTCAAACAAAAACAAACAAACTTCCTTATGACCATAGTTGTTTGTACAGTAATCGCTCTTGAAAGATGATTGGTGTGAGACGTGAAATTTGCATGTGTACGATTTTCATTTTCAACCAAACAAAACTTGACAGAACGGCTAGAAACAAACACTTACAACTGTGTGATGCAAGATGATTGTCAAAATTAATGGTCCATAGTGAGTTATCGATCTTCTTGAAAACCATCTAAATCAAGAATGACACCCCATGCACGTGTATGGGGCTACTGCGTTGTGCACGTGGATCCCATGCGTTGCGTTTAGGTGGTGATCAAGAGAAATATAGGTGCGTTCAAAAGATGTCGGTTTTGGAAAAGTTTGTTGACGCTTATAAAATACTCCCTATTCAAATTGAAAGTTCAGGTTTCCCTACAGTACCTTTTTTCAGAGTATATTATCATGACCCAATCGAGGTCAAGAGCCTAGAAATTTTTAAACGAAGA